AGAACGGGCAGAGACTCTGTCGTTTTTGCAGCCTGAAGCCCTCTAGCCATTCCACTCTACCACAGAACTGTGTGTAGTCTTTTCTCACAGCCTCAGGTTCCCCTTTTGCAGGAATGGACCTCTTTAGGTGAGAAAAAGGGGAGGCAAGCCGTGAGGAGGGCTCTCCAAGCCTCCCTTGTCAGCCCGCACCATGCCCCACCTGCAGTCTTATCTGTACTGCCTCCACCCCGGAGGGTGGGGAGGTTAGAGGACTCCAGAAAGGTGCTGTCTGTGAAATCCCAGCTTTTGGGAACTTTGCTACCAGGAGAGACTTTTGCTTCTCGGTTTGCCAAGCCAGTTACTACATCCACCTACTGGCCAGTTTCTGGAATTTCATTGCTGCTGTCTGCTTTCCATTCTGTCATTCCTCACTTGCCCTGCTGATGGTGTTCCTCCTCTTCACCAGCTTAGATTCTCCCAACTAGCATTCAACATGTCTAGGAGCAGACTTCCCAGACCACCAGCCCCTGGATTTCCATGGTGTGCCCACTGCTATGGGAAGAGAGGTTTCAAAATGAATCGCCCAGAGCTGGAGACAGCTTGGCTGGCAGCTCCCATGCAAGCACAAGGACCTGAGTTCGGATCCCCAGCATCTGCATTAAAAAAGCCAGACATGGTTATAGGCGCCCGTAACCTCAGCGTGCTGAGGGGGAGGGCAGAGACAGTAGGATCCCTAGGAGTCACTGGCCAATCGCGCTCTACACTCAGTGAGAGGCTGTCTCAAGAATAAAGTGTAGAAACAAGAAAGACACTCGATGTTGACCTCTGGCTTCTACACGCATGTGCAACTGCATGCATATGCACACACACACAGGCACACTCAGGGACACACACACACAGGCACACTCAGGGACACACACACACCCTTCTGTGGCTGGTAAGATGACTCAGCAATTCAGAGTACTTGCTGTTCTTGCACAGGACCATGATTCACAAGGCAGCTCACATTTATCCTTAGTTCCAGTTCCAGAGAATCTGGTGACCTCTTCCTGCCTCTGAGGTCACCAGACACACGCAGTGTACCTAAATACAGTGTACTTGCAAACATACAGGTAAAACACTCTTGCACCTTTAGAGAAAAAAAAATACTAAGCCTTTTCTCCATAATCTGCTCCCCTACTTTGAGATAGGGTCACATGTAGCCCAGGCTGACTTAAAACTCACTGTGTAGCCTAAGATGACCTTGGACTTCAGACCTTTCTGCCCTACTTTCCCAATGCTGTGGCTACAGATGTGTGTTACTATGCCTGATTCATACAGTAGGGATCTAACCCACGGCCACATGTGTGCTAGACAAGCATTCTACCAACAGAGCTATATCCGCAGACCAGTCCATGTAATTTATCATCTCCCTAGGAGCTTGGTAGTATCCTAACAGGAGCCTTTTTAAATATATCTTGGGGATAATCGATCACCCATAACCCTGGAGTATAATGAATCCACGATATCTTTCATCATCAGTTCAGGCACACTTAGGTAGTAATAGTGCTTGGCCAGTTCTTGCCGGTAGGTGGCACTATATGATTTTGAGTCCCAAACTGTACTTCGTGACTCCTCCGCGGTGGCAGCCTAGCCTACAGAGGGCCCTGGGGAGTCATGCCAGGGAGGCCCTTTACCACCTCTCTTTTACTCTCAGTGAATTTTCCGTGCGGAAAGCTGGGGAGGCGGATGGAGAAGAAGCGCAAGAACAGGGACACAGACCCAGAAGATGAACTAGAACAAGATCCGAGGATTGTCAACGGAACACTGACGAAGCAGGGAGACAGTCCTTGGCAGGTGAGGGCACGGAGGAGAGACAGTCTTCTGGGACCCCTGTTGGCGTGAGAGAAGTGTTGCTGCTTGAGGGGGTGAGGGGGAGGGGACAGGGGACAGAGGGGGCTGTTCGGGGGCGGGGAGGCTGGGGTTGGAGCTGGTAAGGATAGGAATGGGCACGTGCAGGGAACGGCATGTGTCTTAGTTACAGTTACTTTTACTGTGACAAAACACCATGGCCAAAGAACCTTGAGAAGCAAAGAGTTTATCTGGCTTACGTTTCTACATCACAGTTCATCAACAGAGGAAATCAGGACAGGGACTCAAGCAGGGCAGGGACCTGGGGACAGAAATTGATGCAGAGGCCATGGAGGGGTGCTGCCTCCTGGCTTTCTCTCCATGCTTGCTCGGCCTTTTCTAGAACGCAGGGCTCCAGCCCACGTGTTGCCCCGCCCACAGTGGGCTGTGCCATTCTCCACCAGTCTCGACTTAAGAAGATGCCCTTCAGTTGGGTCTTCCGGAGGCATCTTGTCAACTGAGGTTCCCTCCTTTCAGATTAACTCTAGCTGGTGTCAAGTTGACATAAAACTGACCAGCACAACATAGGTGGGAGCAAGCAGGAGGTAGAGCTTCGGTGTTGAGGAAGAGATGGAGAGACAGAGCTTTTGTGGGTGGGAACGACGGTAGGGACTATGTTTCCGGAGAAGGCTCTTGTATAGGAGAACGCGAGAAGGGACCTGAGCATCCCAGCTTCGATGTTTCTCGCCTTCGCCAGGCTCTGGAATGAGGAGCAGATTAGTAGTTCACCAATGGGGAGCTTAAAACTCTGGGAACAGCTCAGTAGGATGAGGACCAGGATGCCCATCAGGACAGGGGCAGAGGGAGGCCTGAGAGAGGTGACCCAAGCAGCCTGAGTACCAAAAAGGCTCCCCAGAGAATGTAAGGCCTGTCCCAAGTCCCAGCATGAGAGTGCTTTGACGTGGGTGTGGAGGGTGACTATTGGAACTGCATAGGCTATGTTAGGAAGAGTCCCTGACCCAGGCCGATACCAGACAGTGTCACAAACAGAAAACACTGGGGAAAGACCTGAAGGCTATGTGTGCCAGTGGGACCAGGAACCCAGGAAAGAGTCGTGTAAGACTTGGGTCCTGTGCTACGAACAGTCAGAGGCAGCCTGTGATGTCACTTACAGGCAATCCTTCTGGACTCCAAGAAGAAGCTGGCCTGTGGAGGGGTACTCATCCATGCCTCTTGGGTGCTGACAGCCGCCCACTGCATGGTGAGCTCCAAGAAGCTTACTGTGAGGCTCGGTAAGGGCGGAGGCTGGGTGGGAGCAGCCAGAGGCCTGGGAGGAGCAGGGGAAGCAGGCTTGCTGTCCCAGGGTGGGGCTCCTGGCACTTACTACTTAGACTCCACAGAGGATGCTTGGGGGACAGAGGCATCTGGGCTAGCCCCGGCTCACACTGGGACTTCAGTCGGCTGGGGAATTTCTGGTGCTCATTTCAGATCTAGGTCCACACGTTTGTGAGGGGCATCATTCTTCCAGGTCTCCTCCCTGCCACTCCTATGGAGCCCGCTCTGCGTGGGCCTCAGCACCCGGCCGTGGTCAGACCCCCAACACCTTGTGAGCTGCATACAAACTGACAGAGTGGAGCTGTGCAATGTTGGCCCATCTTGCTAGCTGCTCCCCCAAGAGTCTGAGGGTCCCCACGTCTAGGTCCTACTCTGTAACCATTTCTGGGGGGCCTTTTAGCAGACACTATACCAAAAGGAAGAAAAGTGGGTCAAAGTTGTTCAGTTCAGTTCCCAGCACCGATGTAGAATCCAACCATGGTAGAGTATAACCAATCCCAGTACAGGAAAGGCAGAGAAGGAGGCCCCGTGGGCCTGCTGGCCAGTCAGTGTAGCTGGATCTGTGAGCTTCAGCTTCAGTGAGAGATTCTGCCTCCAATTTAAGGTGGAGAGGAATCGAGGAAGACACCAAACATTGACTTTTGGCCTCTGTGTGCACTCACTCACATGCACGTGCACCCTCACACACATGCACCCTCCATGAACACAAGCACATACATACATACATACATACATACATACATACATACATACACACACATACATACACACACATATACATATGTAAGCACACACATAATAAAAGAAAGGGTGCACTGAGAATGACAAAATTGATACGCGGTACACCACCTACGGTATGGACAATGGCCTGTGGCCCTGCTTCCCAGAACCCTCAGCTGGTAGGGAGGACCTGTCTCTTCTCTGTGGTCCAGATCATTCTTGCTAGCAGCGCCTGCCTGGGGCTTGCTGCTGCTCCCCCTTGGATCTTGCTGCGCTGGAGAAGGTCTGTCCAGCAGGGTTGCTCTTTCTTCCCTTCCTGTCTACAGGAGTCTCTGGCTTTTCTGTTCTTTCGATCTTCATTTTACTGTACCATCTGTGAATTCTGAGTGCAGACCAGCCCCCTGCCCCTTAGGAACGTATGCCCAAGGGATCACTGTTCATACTCCTGGCAGGAAAGCTCACCTTTTCTGAGGATCTGAGGCACAGGGACCCAGTTCAGGGCACCACGCAGCTGGGCCGCAGAAGCACCACGGTCAGGCAGGCTCCCCCAGCCTACCCTACTTTGATAGCATCTTTGCCTTGCAGGTGAGTACGATCTGCGACGCAGGGACCACTGGGAATTGGACCTGGATATTGAGGAGGTCCTCATCCACCCTAACTACAGTCGGGTCACCAGTGACAATGACATTGCTCTGCTCCGCCTGGCCCAGCCAGCCACTCTGTCTAAGACCATAGTGCCCGTCTGCCTGCCGAACAATGGCCTGGCAGAGCGGGAGCTCACTCAGGCCGGCCAGGAGACAGTGGTGACAGGCTGGGGCTATCAAACCGACAAGGACAAAGATGGCAGGAGGAACCGCACCTCTATCCTCACCTTCATCCGCATCCCTGTGGCCCCACGAAATGACTGCATAGAGGCCATGAACCATGTGGTCTCAGAGAACATGCTGTGTGCAGGCATCCTTGGTGACAACAGGGATGCCTGTGAAGGTGACAGTGGGGGTCCTATGGTGGTCTTCTTTCGGGGCACCTGGTTCCTGGTGGGCTTGGTAAGCTGGGGTGAGGGCTGTGGGCAACTCAACAACTATGGTGTCTACACCAAAGTAAGCAGCTACCTTGAATGGATCCACAGCTACATTGGCAGCAAGGATGCCTCCCCGAAGGGCCAGAGTCTGTAGCACCCCTCCCTGCTCATCCCTGGACCCCACTCTTAGAGTGAGGCTGGGCTAGTGAATACCACAGCACAGGACATTAAAGGGGCATCCAATAAACATGACAACCTGAGTTCCTGTCTGTCTTTTTATCCTTTTTGCGGGCCATTCTGGAGAAAAGTAACATTAAGTGAGCATCTACTGTGTACCGGGTACTTTACAGAAAGAACCTGCTTAACTCCCGAAACAGTTCTGTGGGGGCGCGGGGGTCCAATGGGATCCGAAGCTGATATAACTTGGGGGTGGTGGTTCATAGAAAGGATTTTTTTTTAAATGTGACTCTAAGAGACTAGAACCTTTCTCGGGGCTTCAGAAGGAGCGGGTGCTAGTTGCAGGTCAGAAAAGCTCACCAGCGGCCTCCGGTAGAGGCTCAGAGGGGCCATGTGATGGAGCGGGGATCCAAACCAAGGATGCACTCCCAAGTTCAGCTGTTTCTCTTCTCCATAGTTCCTGGGGCAGCTGGAGTGTGTCGGGTGGTGGGGGTGGGGGGTGTGTGTATAGGTTGCATGCACATACGTGTTTGGAGACCAGAGGACAACTTCACATGTTACTTCGCGAGCACTGTCTGCTTTTCTTTTCTTTTTTCTTTTCTTGTCTCGTCTCGTCTCGTCTCGTCTTTTCTCGTCTCTTCTCTTCTCTTCTTTTCTTTTCTTGCCCCAGGGTCTCTCGCTGGCCTGAAATCGACACAGTAGGCTAGGCTGGCTGGCCAGAGAACCCCCCCAACCCCCCAGCTTTGACAAGAGGAAACAGAGGATCAGTAGCCCACTGGTGAAGTAGCCAGATGCCCACTCCAGGCTGTATCTCCTCAGGATGGATGGGGTCTGTGAGTCCCTCCCCACTCCCCACTCCAGCTGTATCTCCTCAGGATGGATGAGGCCTGTGAGCCTCTCCCCACTCCCCACTCCAGCTGTATCTCCTCAGGATGGATGGGGCCTGTGAGCCTCTTCTCTCCAATCCAGAATGCAGACTGGCTTGACCTTTCCCAGATCTGGTGTGGATCTTTTTTTTTTTAAAAAAAAAAAAAAATAAAAACAAACCACCTATTAATTGTTTTTGAGATGAGGACTTAGGTGTAGTGAGGAGCTGCGGGCAGGCCTGCTTTTCATCCCACACGGCTCCCACACGACTAGCTTAGCCCCAGAAATAATAACACATAAGTTGTATTCATTTAAATACTGCCTGGCCCATTATCTCTAGAGAGTTAGTTACTGGCTAACTCTCACATCTTGATTAACCCATTTCTAATAATCTGTATAGCACCACAAGGTGTGGCTTACCGGGAAAGATTCAGCATGTCTGACCTGGTGGCTGGCTCCATGGCGTCTGCCTCATAGCCCTCTTCCCAGCATTCTATTTTGTTTACTCTGCCTACCTAATTTTCTGTCCTATCAAAGGGCCAAGGCAGTCTCTTTATTGACCAATGAAAATAACACAATAGACAGATAACCCTCCTCCATCACTTAGGCACTCCATGTCACATAGGTGGAGGTTGGAGGGCTTTTAGGAGTCACTTCTCTCCAATGTGTGCTGTGGGACAATGGTCTTGTACCCTGTAAAGACTTGTTATTTGTATTTTAATAAAATATTGATTGGCAAGTAGTCAGGCAGGAAGTTATAGGCGGGGCGACCAGGCAGGATGTATAGGCAGGGCAACAAGACAGGAGAATTCTGGGAAGAGGAAAGACTCAGTTTGCGGTCATCACCCAGACGCAGAGGAAGCAAGATGAGAATGCCTCACTGATAAAAGGTAGCAAGTCACATGGCTAACACAGACAAGAATTATGTGCTAATTTAAGATGTAAGAGTTAATAAGAAACCTGAGTTCATAGATCAATCAGTCTGTAATTAATGTAGACCTCTGTGTGCTTTCTTTGGAACTGAACAGATATGGGACCAGGTGGGACAGAAATCTCTGCCAACACATGTGGGTTTTGGGAACCTGCTCAAAAAGGCACAATGGAGACAGGACTTACATGAAAAAATCTAAGATAATTAGACAGTAGTCTTAAAACTAGTACAGCTCTATGTGGTTCTGAACTGAGCAAATAATTTTTCTTCTCTGGTTGCAATGGCTAATTTTAGCTGTCAATTTGACTGGATTAGGGAGTAATTGGCTGGTAAGCTATTCTACTTTCAGCTACTATAATAAAAGGCTTGAGGCAGGCCAACTTTATAAAGAAAAGAGGTTTTTTTTGTGTTTTTGTTGTTGTTGTTGTTGTTGTTGTTGTTTTTAGCTCAGCATTTTAGAGGTAGCCCCGTTGGTTCGACCTCTTGGAAAGGCCGGAAAGCAGATGGTGATCATGGTGACATCATAGTGGAAGCCTTTGTGCCAGAGTCATAGTGTTGGCAAGAAGGCATAGCACAGTTTGGGGGAAGGACTCACGACAACTTGCTTTTGTGATTACTCAGGGTGCTCAGGAGATTGTGGCAAAGAAAATCACTGCCTTCCAAGGGTGGTGACTGTAATGACCTAAGGACCTTCCCTTAGGATTCACCTCTTAAAGGCCTCACATCATCTCCCTGCTCTGGCAAGCTTCCAGCACATGGACTCTTAGGGTCCATGCCTTATCCAGACTGTAGAGGCTGGGTGCGCCTGCTGGAGGAGATCGACAGGCATATGAGTCTGTGGGCTGAGTGGGAAGATCTGCCACCTGTGGGCTCCATCCAGCTAGCCCTAGTAAAACTAAGAGGAGAGAGAAGGGAAGGTCTCTCTCTCTCTCTTGTTAGGACGTTGTGTTGGGGTTCCTAGGGTAACAAGCTTTGAGAATGAATCTATATTATCAAAGGGGATTTGTGAAGGTGTTTACACGGTAGGGGCTGTGTAATCCAGCAGTGGTTCAGCACACTGGAGAGGCTGAGAATCTGTTCAGTGCACAAGAGCAGAGGCCTCGGCAGTCCTATCCATGCTGGGAGGCTGGAGTCACATTCCCTTCCTCCTCCTGTAGAATTCTTCTACTTCCATGTCTTCTGCGTGCATGGCCCAGTGAGTTTTATTTGGATTGCTGATAGGAACATGGGCACCTCACCCAGTGGCTACAGCACTGAAGAAAACGTCTCTCTTCACCAGCAACCTTTAGCTGCCTGTGTCCTCAGGGAGGGGTGAGCCTCATGAGCTCACCCCTAGTTTCAGTATTTTACATATGGAAATCCAGTTTTCCCAGTTCCATAGGTTGAAGAGGTGGCCTTTGTGCCAGTATTGCTTTGGACACCTTTGCCCACAATTATGTGGCTTCAGCTGTGTGGATTTATTTCTGGGTCCTTTATATTCTAGTCCTTTGGCGGATGTGCTTTCTTTCCTTCCCTCCTTTCTTCCTCCGACCCTCCTTCCCTCTCTCCCTCCCTCTCTTCCTTCCTTCCATCCTTTCTTTCTTTGTGCATGAAAATGCGTACAAAGCACATACTGACAAATAATCTCTTCAACATATGGACTGAGAAAACTGGATTTCCTATAGCTTGTTGCCCTGGCAGAGGTCTGCATTCGATCCTCTAGCTCTGGAATGCCAGTGGCCTGCTCTTTGGCAGGCAGTTTTAACTTGTTTTATTGCTTGTTTGTTTGTTTGTTTCTGCTTAGTGTGAAAAGGTCTGTTTAAGCACCCTGCTGGAGAGCAGAGTTTCTTTTATTTTTTCTTTTTTATTAACTCCATCTCCTTTTAATTGTTTGGATAGAATTGTGCTATACATTCTTCCCCCCCCCCCCTCCTCTGACCTCCATGCTCCCAATTTACTCAGGAGATCTTGTCTTTTTTCCACTTCCTAGGCGGATGCATGTTTGTCTCTCTTAGGGTCCTCTTTGCTTCCTAGGTTTTCTGGAGTTGAGGCCTATAGGCAGGTTATCCTTTGCTTTATGTCTATTATCTACTTATGAGTGGTTAGATAGTATATTTGTCTTTCTGGGTCGGGTTCTCTCACACAGGGTGGTGTTTTCTCTTGCTGTCCATTTCCCAGAGCAGAATTTCTTTTTTTTTTATGAGAAAGTAATTTTATTAAATTATAAAAGTTTCCATTTCCGCCCCTCCTCCCAAGAGCAGAATTTCTTAACGCAGCTGTATCCCACCCCTTTATGTCAGCCTTCTCGGGCTCTCCATGGAAATGTAGGCCCACGTTGGAAGACCAAAGTATAGTTTGTTTGCTTTTTTTACACTTTGGGATCCCACCACCCAGATCCCAAATAGACACCTGAAGACTTATTCTCACTTATGAATGCCTGGCCTTAGCTTGGCTTGTTTCTAGCCAGCTTTTCTAACTGAAATTATCCCATCTACCATTTGCCTCTGGGATTTTCCTTCCTCTATTCTATATACCTCTCTTTCCTTCTTACTCTGTGACTGGCTGAGTGGCTGGCCTCTGGCATCCTCTTCTTCTCCTTTGTCCATGCCTCCCTCTTCTCCTGAGCCTTGATTTCTCCTCCTGTTCTCTCTGCCTGGCAGTCCCACCTATTTCTCTCTCCTGCCTAGCTATTGGTCGTTCAGCTCTGTATTAGACCATTCAGGTGTTTTAGGCAGGCCAAACACAGCTTCACAGAGTTAAACAAATGCATCATAAAAGAATGCAACACATCTTTGCATCATTAAGCAGATATTCCACAGCATAAATGAATGTTACACATCTTCAAATAATATTCCACAACAGGAAGCAGCCTGCTCATTCTCCCCAGGGCACAGCTTCCCAATGGAGCTGGGTCCTTTACACAGCTATGTACCATCTGCCCAAAGGAACCTCCTGCTGCCTCTTTCTGTCACTTTTTTTCAGAGACAGCCCAGCTGCACTTCATGAATGACCTGCTCACCACGCTAAGTAGTTAATGCATTAGATTGGATGGAAAATAAGACCTTGAGAAAACTCAACTTTGTTATAGGAGTTATCAATTGGTAGTATGATTTACACAGCTGGAAGTGTCCTGGAATACATTCTGAAAATGTTGGACTTATATTATGCTACAGGGATATGTTGGTTTCTAGAACTCAGATTTTTTTTCATTTGTTAATATTCTATGTAATAACCCCCAACTACCACTCCAAAGGAGGATAGAAATCTGAGTTACATGAACCAGAAAAGGTGAGAAAACACCAGAGAAATCATTAATACACACTTTTGGTTGGAATTTTTTTTAAAAAAAATCCTTTTTCTGATGTTTATCCATCTGTGGAAGGAATGAAATGGTTTGCAAACATTTGACTTGTGGAGAGAGCATTTATCCACACTGTAGAAACAGGAGTGCTTTTCAGAGAGGCCACACTACATTAAGAGAATCTCTGTTGTTAGCCAGCATGTGGTGCACACCTTTAATTGCAGTACTAGTAGGCAGAGGCAGTTGGATCTCTGCGAATTTGAGAATCCAGCCTGGCCTACAGAGCAAGTTCTAGGCTAGTCAAAGCTATATAGTGAGGCCTCGTCACAAAACAACTGAATATAGAACCAACAACAGGCCACCGCTGAAGCTGTCACTGTTGTGTTAGGTCGGGGGTAGCTTGAAGACACAGGAAGCAGAAAAAGCAGAAAAGAGACTACAGACACTGACTCAGCAACTGAACTGGCTGTTTCAGACATCAGTGGGCAGGCACAGTGGTAACGGAGTGTCTGCAAAGGGGAAGGGGATTCTTGGGGTTATATGGGAGACTTCAGAAATACAACTCCTGGGGCTATATCCAGGCCTGCAGTTTCTCTCTCCTGGAGTTGTTAGTCCAAGCAAGGACATTTTATCTTTAGAAACTGCTTTGCCCAGCTGTCAAGATGTGAGTCATAGACAATGACTGAGTTTGGCAGTGGCAATGACGGGTAAGGGACTGTGGAGTTTCAACATAAGGCTTCGGTCAGGGGCTGGTAAAGTTTGTTCAAGGTTTATTTCATTAGCTATATGGAGACAAACTGCCACATTTTTGCTTATTAAGTGGTGACATATTTATCATTGTTGCTTTGTTTTTACTTTTTAAAGATTTATTTTATTTTGTGTGGAGTGTTTTCCCTACATGTTCTATGGACACCATGTACATGCCTAGCACCTGTAGATGTCAGAAGAGGGCATAGGGCCACTTGGAACTGGAGCTATGGATGGTTGTGAACTACCATGTGTGTTCTGGGAACGGAACCCTGGTCTTCTGCAAGAGCAACAAGTGTTCTCAATGGCTGAGCATTTTCTCTAGCCCCAAGTGGGAAATTTGTGTTTAACAGAATTTTCCATTCAAAAATGTTTACAGGGCAACAAAATGGCCCAGCAGGTAAGAACACCTGCTGCACAAGCCTGGAAACCCAAACCCCACGCCTGCCGCCCTGTGAAGGAGCCGGGTGTGGTGGTATGCGCCTATAGTTCCAACACTCCCATTCCAAGAAAGAACTGTCTATAAGCTTGTGGACCAGCTAGCTAGCCTGTGGTATACAGCATGGCAGGAACAAGAGCAACCCTGCCTCAAAACAAACTGAAAAAGAGCTGCCCCCTGGTCTGCTAATACACCCCGTGACGTACAAATGTCTACTTATACACGTAACCATATATAAACACACACATACAGAACACTAAAACACAATTTTAAAATGTTTCTTATATGGAAGTAGAACAAAGTAGAAACGACCAATTATTAGATGCTGGTTTATTGATTTATTCAGCAATTCACATAAAGCACTGCCTGTACTGTCTGTTTACCAAGCATGACTTCACTTGCTACCTGGAACAGAATGTCCTGGAGAAACAGCTGAAAGGTCATTGCCCTTAACATCCTGGTGACTGCCATATATACTTCTATAAAGTCTCACTTGCTAGCCCAGCTCACCTTATGGTTTGAGTATAAAATGAGAAGACAAACGGCCCAGGACTGAAGCCTTCCAGTAGCTATTCTGGTTCTGGCCCACCAGTGAGAGCTCTTCCATGCCCATCGATGCCAGAATGCTTATTCCAGAACGATTCCAGCAACAGGATCATTTCACATGATGATACGGGGGCTGTTTATGGAACAGCGTGTGTTGATGTTTAAGTATGAAGCAATATACTGCTGGTAATGATGAGTGCATTCATCAGTCCCTGAGCAAAACTGCCAGATAAACACAGAGATTGTACTTTCATCTTCAGCACATCAGAGGAGTGTTTCAAAAGCAGTTAGGGCAAATATTAACTGAAACAGCACACATTTGTGGTTGACCAGACTTTCCTGCCACCGCACAATATTGTTCTTCTCAGCAATGTCACTGATGCATGAGGAAAAAGAGATAAAAATTCGTAAGTTCAAGCTTAGATTGGTCAAAATAAGAAGTGATTGTCTACTCGGCTATATATGAGATGGCCATATCACCCCCTCCAAGGCTCAGGGAACATCAGAAGGGGCAGAAATAATGTGAGCACCTGAGGACGCCGTGGAATGTTGTAAAACGCTGTCTTTCAGGAATGGCATGGATGCTGCCTTTTTATTTTTTATTTTTGGCTTTTTGAGACAGGGTTTCTCTGTGTAGCCTTGCCTGTCCTGGAACTTGCTTTGTAGACCAGGCTGGCTTGAACTCAGAGATCTGCCTGCCTCTGCTTCCCGAGTGCTGAGATTAAAGGCATATGCCACCACACACCAAAATCTGATCATGTAGGAGGGATGGGCTCACCAGGCTCCACCCCTAATGAAGAATCTGTTAACTAGTCTGTTAACCTCTATTGAAGGTAGTTTTAACTGTTGCTGGTGGAGGAAAGACATTTTCTTTAGCGGTGTAGCCACTGTTAAGGTGTCAGTGCTCCTGTATAACCCCTTACCAAACTCAGACAATAAAAACCCTAACAAAACTCATTAGGTCATCCCCACCCCAAAAAGACAGGGAAGTAGAAGAGGAACTAATCGGGAAGATAGATGGGTCAGAAGGAAGGGGTAGCTGTCTTCATTAGCTTTTGTTGTCAACCTGACACATAGAGACACCTGGGAAGAGGAATCATCAGTTGAAGAATTTTTGATGAGATTGGCCTGTGGCTTTGTTTTGATTGATGACTGGGCGTGGGAGGGCCAAGCCTACTATGCGTGTACTTAGGCAGGGGGTTGGGAAGCCTAGGTTGATTAAGAAAGCTAGCTGAGCGAAAGCCTGTGAGCCACCCACTCAGCAGATTCTTTCACAGTTTCTGCTTCAGTTCCTAACCTAGTTTTCCTGGGATCGGACTACAACTCAGAACCCTTTCTTCCTCCAAAATGCCTTGGGAATGGTATTAATCACAACATTAGAAACTAGAAGGGTAGGAGCGTTGTTAGCATTCAAGCATTATACTGGCCCACCCTGGGATTCTTAACGACAGCCACAAGAGCACTCCTTACACACAGGTGCTGGTTAGTACTCGGGCACCTACACTGGCCGGCTCTAAATGTCCTGACAGAATATGTCATAAGCCACCGCCATTACCTAGAGCTCTCCCTGTGCACAGGCCCCTATCATGTCTCTCTCTCTCTCTTGCACCACTCCTGTCTCTTCTGTCGCTCTCTCCCTTCCCTTCCCCAAGTAAACTTCCCACACGTGCTCTGTTGTATGGTATAACTTTTGTTCTTGCCTCTGCACCACACCGCAGAACAACACTGGCAGGCTCTCCTGGTGGTCCCCCTCCCACCTACAGGCAGTTTGAGACACACCAGGATCTCGCCCCCAGTCTGCCCACTACAGGCTCACCTTTCACCTGACCTATCGCTGGGCCCTCCAGCCAACACTGGCACAGTCGGTAAGTTTCCCTTCTCCTGGTCAGTGTAACCCCTTCCTTGGATTCATGGGAGTGATTGCTGAGCATCTGGCACCCCTCTGGTGTTCTTGGAAGTGGAGGAACCTCCAATCACAGTGTTCAAGGATACAGCTGACCCTCATCGCCCACACTCACCTCTGGCCACTCTCTTGAGCATGGTTTCTCACATTTTGGCCCCACCAAGTCCTGGTACCAGGTAACCATGTCTCTCTCACTCAGGCTTGGAGACCTCCTGCCCTGCTCTTTGTGTGGCAACACACCGGACAGCCTGTGCCTATTTGATTTGATCCTCCCTGAATTCCTGGGATTCTAGGGATTCCAGGCTATTGGATCTTCCATCTCTGCCTCACATGGGAACTGTGCCTTTGTCAGGATCTCCAAGCTCCCTACTGGGACACCTCTCAGAAAACCTCAGACTTCTACACTCAGCACCCAACTTAAGGGCTTCCAAAATTGTATGCCTTTTCAGTCAAGTATTAACTAGATACTCATTAGATAATCACTCAAAATGTCTGCCTACCAATAGCCTGGATGCCAATCTTATACAGGACCTTTGCCAACTTTTGCCAGCAATTGGGCAGGTAGAAGGAGGTGTCTTATATCCAAGCATTTTCTTGCTTTAGTTCCAAATTTTCCATTTGTTCTTCCCGTCCCCCAACTCAGCCCCTTCTCTCTAAGAAGTCTGAACTAGAGGAAACTTCCACTATTCAGGACCCTGCTAATGAGCCTCCACTCTACTGATCTCAACACAACTTCTCATCTTCAGCTCCCTCAGCCACTTCCTCCTCTCCAGTAACAGACTGTTCTAACTATCTGACTGTAGTACCCACTTTCACTCCATTACTTGCTTCACTCCACTATGGAACCCCTTTCATCTCTCTCTACCCAGCCCTGTAGATGGAAGTTTCTGTCCCACCTGGTTCCACAGCTGTTCAGTTCCAAAGAAACACACAGAAGCTTATATTAATTATAAACTGTTTAGCCTATTAGCTCAGGCTTATTATTAACTAGCTCTTACAACTTAAATTGACCCATAAGTCTTGTCTATGTTTAGCATGGCTTGATACCTTTTCTCAGTAGGACATTCTCATCTTGTTTCCTCTGCATCTCACTGGTGACTGACTCTCTACCTTTCCTTTTCCCAGAATTTTCTTAGTCAGATTGCCCAGCCTGAAGGTGTATATGACCCGTACACTAAAATAACTAGACCAGCTCAAAACAACAGATATAATTTAATAATTGAAAACGGGGAAACTCAGGCGACAAGATTAAAAGTTCCGATGTCCAAATGGGTCAGGTGAACACCGCATGCAGAGAGCAAGCACACCTGGATCCCTAGGTTTTCTTCCCTGGGGCCCAGGTTGCCACACCCCCAATTCAATGTGATTGGTTAATAGAGTTTCCCCATCCTGCCTGGCTACTGGCCAACTGGTGTTTTATTAAATTAGTATGAGTGACAAATCTTTACAGTGTACAAGAGCATTATCCCACAGTATTTCCCTTTTTCTTTTCAAAACAAGAACTCTGAATCTACTATTCCTTGTTTAGCTTTTTTACTGACCATTGTCCATAACAACTAGTAACCAATACTCCAAACAAAGAAAAACATCCATAATCCATTTTTGGGTAATGTGGGCATGGTTTTCTAGACTACTTCCTGCTGACTGGGGCCACTGATAATCTTATGGGGACCCAAAGAAAGTTTAGGATTATAGTAAAGTCCTGACTGGAGTATTCTGTGAGGCTGGATCATCTCAGTCAGCAGTCTTGAAGTTGTTCTGGATGTAGAACTCATAGGAAACTGCAACAGAGCTGCTCTAAAATTAGTTAATAATAAATCTGAGCTAACAGGCCAAACAGTTTATAATTAGCATAAACCTCTATGTGTTTCTTTGGGACTGAATAGCTGTGGGACCGGGTGGGACAGAAACTCCCATCTACAATGCATGTTTGGATGGCAGAGATTAACTCTGGAAGCTAGTTCTCCCTCTGTGATATGGATCCCAGGGATTAAACTCAAACTGAAAGACTTGTCTGAAAGTGTTTTTACTCACTGAGTCATCTTTCTGGCCTCTAAATTATCCTTTAATAAAGATGTAAACTATTAGCCAACCATGGCAGTGGACAGCTTGAATCCCAACACTTGGGAGGCAGAGGCAGGTGGATCTTTGTGAGTTCAAGGTCAACCTGGTCTACAAAACAAGTTGCAGAACAGACACGTCTACACAGAGAAACCCTGTCTTGAAAAGCAAAACAACAAAAAGATATAAACTATTTTTCTTTTAAAAAATTCCATTTGTCTATTTTAAAATGCAGCAAAAAAACAGCTCTGGTCGCATACACCTGCTAATCCAGAATTCAGGAGGTTGCGGCAGAAATCATGAGTTCCAGACCAGAATAGGGAGATCCTGATTTAAACAAAAGAATAAGAAGCAGTAGAAAGAGAAGTTGTTTCAGTCTCAAATTACTACATGTAAGTGCATAATTCTCACCTATGCAAGTAGAATACTGCACATCAAAGAAAAGTATTCTCTAGATACTGATGAGAATTCTATGGGTGTGTGCCTGATCCCCAGTGCTGGGTAGGTCAAACTATAGTTTCAGGATCTGATAGTTCCTCAGGTGAAACATGGGCAGTTCCCCTTAAGTTCCCACCTTCCAGGTTGACCAGAGTCAGCATTCCTGGAATGTTCCAGAGCATCACTAGGTATGGATCCATGTTACCGCTGTACCTTACTCTCAACAGGTAAGAAAGCTCTTTCTGCACTCAGCACAACACTGAACCTCATCAATTATCTTTATAGCTCATATCTACATCCCTTCTCTTCCCAGAGTGTACCTGACTGAGTTGCCTAGGTGAGAACAAACCTGCAACTATAGTCCACCTACACTTCTCCTTGGGCATTTGGGCTTCCTGTTGAATTGGCCCTTCTCTCAATGCTGTGTTTGCTCTGGGAATTCCCTGTCTTTATAAGTGGCTTCTGCCAGGGCTACTACAACTGATTCAACCTGTAAATAATTTAACCCAACAGTGGAAAGAGTGTAAGACTTTGCACAGATCCTAACAAAAACCTCTGAATTTGATGTTTGAAGACAACTACCTAACCATGTATGAGTATGACTGAATCTTATCTCTTGACCACTTGTGTACCACTGAAGAGTTTCGTTAGGATTATTAGCTTTACTGATGGTGTGAAGTCTTCTATTTATCATATAAAGGGTGAATGTATTGAGCAGTAACAGAAAAAAAATGAAAACAAAAACTGGGAAAGACTACAAATAGATAATTACTTTAAACGGTAAAAGTTTACACCATCTAAGAACAACTCTAAGAATGCATTTTAAATACTAGTGTTTTATACAAAACATACAACATAACCAAGAACTTTAGAGACAATGAATTAGTGTTAGGATGGATCAGTGCATAAAGGCACTTGGCAGACAAGTCTGGCAATCTGATTTTAATTCCTGGAACCGATGTAAAGAACAAATGAGAGAACTGATTCCACAGACTTGTTCTCCAACCTCCATACCTGTACTGTGGCTCACATGCCCTTTGCCACTATATACAACAAATACTAAATAAATTCAAAGAACCGACTTTTGAGCTATAGAGTGTCTGCTTATTGTGGGACTTTTGACAGCAGTAACTAACTTTGGCCTTATCTTTCTCACTTTATTTATTTTGATTTTTCAAGACAGGGTTTCTCTGTAGCTTTGGAGCCTGTCCTGAAACTAGCTCTTGTAGACCAGGCTGTCCTCGAACTCACAAAGATCCGCCTGCCTCTGCCTCCCGAGTGCTGGGATTAAAGGCGTGCACCACCACTGCCCGGCTTGTTTCTCACTTTTAAAAATGCAATGGCAATTACTTTTCATGAAACTAGTCAATGCCAGCACACGTATGCAGCAGGCACAAGACAAAGTTCTGTTTCTTCTTTCTTTAGTATGAGATAGTTCCTATCATGCCATCTGAGCCATGGGGTTAGCCTGCAAGGTTTTCCATTAAAAGCTTTTGGTTGTTGCACTGGGAAAAGCAATAGCCCCAGGTTCAAAAGTTTGTTTTTGTTTCTTAAGACATGGTCTCAATGTGCAGTCCTGGCTGGCCTGACACTCACAGGGATCCATTTGTTTTTGTCTTTCCCAGTGTTGGCATTAAAAGTGTATGCCACCATATTTGGTTTGAAACGGGTTTTTTAAAAATAGTTTGTTGCTGGGCAGTGGTAGTGCACACTTTTAATCCCAGTACTTGGGAGGCAGAGGAAAGAGGATCTCTGTGAATTCAAAACCAGCCTTGTCTACAAGAGCTAGTTCCAGGATAGTTAGGATTGTTACACATAGAAACCTTGTCTTGAAAGAAAAAAAAACACAAAGCCAAAACCAAAAAAAAAAAAAAACAACCCAAAACCCAGTTTGTTGATAAAAGATCAATTTCATTCTGAATTTAAGGTTAACGTAATTATGCAGATTATTTTGTCTCATTAAAGACAGGGTCTCACCATGCAGCTCAGATTGTATCTTGAAATTCAGCGTTGTAGCCCAGGCTGGTCTATGTGTGATCCTTTTGTCTCACTCTCAAGTGCAGGTATTATAGGCATATACAACTACACTTAGCTTATTTTATCTTAAATATCATCATCATTCTTAAGAAATGCTTTAGAAATTTTATCCATGGTTAATCTCGATTGTCAACCCAAAGGATCAGAATAACCACCTTTGGGCTTATTTGTGGGATGTTTTTTGTTTGTTTGTTTTCGAGACAGGGTTTCTCTGTAGCTTTGGTGCCTGTCCTGGAACTAGCTCTTATAGACCAGGCTGACCTCGAACTCACAGAGATCAGCCTGGCTCTGCCTCCCAAATGCTGGGATTAAAAGCATGTACCACCACTACCTGGCTCTTTTTGGGCACATTTGTAAAGAATTATCTGGTTCAGGTTAATTGATACGAGAAGACCCATCTGAATGTGTTTGAATGGAACCATTCATTCCCCAGGCTGGAGTCCTGAACTAAGTCAAAAGGAGAGAGTGGGCTGAGCACTAGTATCCACCTCTCTGCTCCCTGTCTTCCCTACCTGGTGCACCCTCAGACTGAGTCAGAATAAACCTTCTTCCCTCAAGATGGTCTTATCAGGTATTTAACTAAGACACGGGGTTTTCTCTTTTCTATCAATTAAGAAAATAAAAACAAAACAGCAATGATTAAGAACGATCTTGAAGTCAAAGCCAAGAAATGTACAGTTTGAATAATGAAAGTAATTGCACTTTCAACTCCATGTTAAGTTCCATGCTACAATTTGGGCACTTGGGAATCAGAAGCGGGTGGATCTCTGCGAGTTCGAGGCCAGCCTGGTCTACAGAGCAAGTTCCAGGACAGCCGGGGCTACATAGAGAAACTCTGAGAAAACAAAACAAAGTAAAATGAGTCAAATGTTACTGGCACACATCTTTTAAAAATGGGGCTGGAGGGATGGCTACTGCCTGTAACTCCAGGATCCAACACCCCCCTCCCACTTACAGGCAGGCCAAATACCCATGCACATAAAATTAAAAAAAAAAATTTAAATCCATGTTACACTTTCTACACCATGTAGAAATGATCCAGTCACTAAGGTGACCAAGGGAGCAGGAACCAGAAAGGCTCTGGAATCAGACCTTGGTCTCAATGCTTGCTCTCCAACTAACCAAATGGATGGAACAGTGGTGACTTCATGCCATTTTCCTCATCCATAATACAGGAATAATATCTTACAGAATTAGGATAGATTTCTATCCCAGTTTTGTTTTGTGATAAATTACCCTGATAAAAAGTAACTTAGGGGGGTAAGATAGTTGATCTTAGCTAACTCTCCAGGTTACAGTCCATTATTGTGAGGTCCAGGCAAGAACCTGAAATAGCTAGTAGCATTTGTAACCAGGAACAAAGAGAATGAATGTACACATGCCTCTTGTGCTCTGCTGGCTTTCCCTACACATATGCAGTCTAGGACCTAACCCCAGGGAATGATGCCATCCACAGTGGACAGGCTTTGTCACCTCAATGAATGTGATCAAGAGAAGTTCCTAGGGACGTGCTGCAGCCCAACCCAAATCCACACAAATTCTCCATGACAATTCTAGATTGTCAAATTGATAGTGAAATCTAACCACCACAATGTCAATTGTGAGATGTTACATAGTAGCTCAGCTCAATAAACTGAATTAAGAAAATTAGATGAAGCCAGATGTAGTGGACCACGCCTTTAATCCCAGCACTCAGGAGGCAGAAGCACACGGTTCTGTTAGTTTGGGGCCAGCCTGGTCTACATAGTGAGTTCCACAGCAGCCAGCTCATTCTTCTGGTCTTGCTTCTTCCCTGACTTGACTTTCAAAAGAAGCTTGAAACAGCTGTGTACGGCTATACTGGCGGACTCCCATTAGACTAGTGCTTACTGACCTACTAGCCTCTGATTGTTTTAATGCAGAACTTCTCTGGGGAAACTCACTCTATTCCCCTCTTATTTCTAGTCAAAAATGTGCACCAAAGATAATTTGATATCATGCCTTCTGCAAACTCAAAGGGCAGATGATTATCCCTCTCTGATGCTCAAACTGTGAGTACTGGATTCTGTATCATGAGGAAACTACATGTGTTAACTGCCAAGTGGTGTCTCTATCAGTTAATTGATGTGATAAAACACCACGACCAAGACAAGAGTTTATTTGGGGTTTACAGCTCCAGAGGGCTAAAATCCACAATGACAGGGTGAAGATAGCACGCGGCAGGCAGGAGTAGCAGCTGAGAGCTCACATCTTGATCTGCAAACAGGAAACAAGAGAGAGCTAATTCAAAATGGTATCAATCTTTTGAAACCTCAAAGTCCACTCCTAGTGCTATACTTCTTCCAGGAAGGTCACACCTCATAATCCTCCAGAGATAGCCACCAACTATGGACCAAGTACTCAAATGCCTTCAGCTTATGAGGGACATCTCATTGAAACCACCACATTCCACTCCTTGGCACACACAGGCTTATGGCCATATCATAATGCAAAATGCATTTAGTCAAACCTCAAAAGTCCCCATAGTCCTCCAGTCTCAATACACGAAAAGTCCAAAGTTTCTGAGACTCAAAGCAATCTTTTAACTGGAACCCCCTGTAAAATCAAAAGCAAATTATATACTTCCAACACACAATGGCACAGAATATATATTACCATTCCAAAATTGAGGAATCAGAGCAGTGAGGAAGCACTGCACCAAAGCAAGGTCAAAGCACAGCAAGACAAACCTCCAACTCCTGGAGTTCCATGTCTTGATGTCAAAGGACTTATATGGCTTTGCTGCCTGTAAGATGGATCTCTCTGCTCAGGGTGGGTTCCAATTTTTGTATGATGTTCTCCTTGGCAGATATCCCATGGCTCTGGCACCTGTTACATCTTGTGGTCACCAGTGTAACCCAGACTTTACTTATACATGCCTGGGTCCTGTGGCTCTCTTTAACTGTGGAGGAAGATTCCACAACCCATTTTCTTGTGTATCCTTCATGATTCTGAAGCCATAACTGGATGGCTGATACTGTCAAGGTTCGGTTATCAACTTGGCATGAATCCTGGTACCCTTGAGTCATATTTATAACAGTTTTTGTTAATTTCTTAGGTCTTCCTTTCACAAGCTGAAGTTCAGCTGAGTGGGGTCTCACCCTGAGGGCAGCCTTCTGTCCATTCAAATGCAGATTTGGCCACCCTTAACAGTTTTGGTCTCTCTTCCAGCACAAGCCTCGGTTGTAACATAAGCCTTGCCAGTATACTCTTCCTCTCCAAACTCTGCATTTCTTTCTGCCCTATTTGCTCTTCACTGTAGACCTGCAAAAATGATAATTCCTAATAACCATAAAACAGAGTTAGTATTAGATTGTCTTGAAATCTCCTCTGTCAATGACATTAGACTAGTACTTAACTTTAACCTCAGGTAAATTCTTATGAAAAGGGCAGAAAGCCACCATAGTCTTTGTCAAATATTCTAAGAATGGTTTCCAGCTCAGCTGCTTATATTGTTCCCCTCTGAAAACTCTTTTGAGGTAGGCCACTACAGTCCACGCTGTTTTCAGCACTTTCTTGCAAGCTCCTACTAGAATGGACCATTAAGCTCTGCTTACAGCATTCAGTGGTTTTTCTCGTCCAAAGTTCCAAAGCCTTCTGCATTGCTCCCCAAACCACATGGTCAAGTCTGTTATAGCAATATCCCACTCCTGGTACCAACTTCTATATGTTACTTTTCTATTGCTGTGATAAAACACCATGATCAAGGCAACTTATAGGAGGCTTATTTTGGGCTTACAGTTTCAGAGGGTTGGAATTCATGATGACAGAGTGAAGACAGCAGGTGGCATATGAGCAGCAGCTGAAAGCTGCACATCTTGAACCAGAGCAGGAAAAAGAAAGTGATAACTCAAAATGGCATGAGTCTTTTGAAACCTCAAAGCCCACCTCCAGTAATATACTTCCAGCAAGGTCATACTTCTTAAACTTCCACAAACAACCACTAACTGCAGATCATGTATTTAAATGCCCCAGACTTTTGGGTGAGATTGACACATTACATCTCCCAGGGAAGCTCCTTAAAACAGAAAGTAAATTAACTCAAAATAGCTGCAGGAAGTCCTGACACTAACCAGATGGTGGTCTCAAAGTGTAGTCCTGGCTGGCCTGAAACTCATAGGGATCCATTTGTTTTTGTCTTTCCCAGTGTTGGCATTAAAAGTGTATGCCACCATATTTGGCACTAAAAGGGGTTTTTAAAAAACAGAGTTTGTTGCTGGGCAGTGGTAGTGCACACCTTTAATCCCAGTACTCAGGAGGCAGAGGTAGGAGGATCTCTGTGAATTATAGTCCTTTCCATCCCAGGCATAAATAAAGTTGGTTGAGTGTCACTCTCAAATGAGCCAAGCTGCAAAGCAGACAGACCAGACCAGCTATATGGAGGAGGCAGAGACTGGCTGAGCTGCTTGGAAGGGCCTTAGACCAACTGAGGTATCTCGTAAGGACGCTCTCTAATCTGTTGAGTTTTCCAGCTTTTTGTGAGCTGTCATTCATGCTGGGTAGGCTTTGGTGATGCAGCTGTCTTTGAATCATTTCTCCTCCTGTAAGTAACCCCAATAAAACTCATTGATTTGCCAAGTTGGGACTTCAATGGCATCCATATTTTGGTTTGCCATGAGCTCCCTATTTGTGGTGTTTAGACATGTGGATGCTATGTCTTCCCAGGAAAATTGTCATACAATAACTGGTCTTGAAAAATGAATGAGAGGACTGGTAAAACAGAGGGCTGCTGGGCTCAGCAGGCAAAGTGTTTATTGTTCAATCCCTAGAATTCATGAAAGGTAGAAGATAACGGATTCTCCAAAGTTGTCCTCTGACATATGTGCTATGCAGTGCCCTTGCATACATACATCACACACATATGAAATAATATATTTTTTAATGAGGGAGAAATAAGTGAAGAAAGCAGAGGTAGTTAAGTTCATTACCCAGACCTACCTTATAGGAAATACAGAAGGGAATTCTTCAAGTTGTAAAGAAAAGATACTAAGCATAAACTCAAAGCCATATAAGAATATAAATTTTCCTATAATAATAAACACACAAATAGAAAAACTCCCATCATTGTAATATTGGTTCACAATTCTTTTTATTCTTTAACAGTATTTAAAATAGAAAAGCATAAAAAGTTATAAATTTGTTATTGGACACACATTATATGCTATTTGTGACATTGATAATGTAAAAAAGAGGGCTAGAACTATAAAGAGAAGAAATTTTGTATGTGATTTAAACTATTAGTTTAAACTGCTGTAACTTCAGGATGTTTCACGTAAACCTCATAAAAATCACATATACAATATATACGAAAGAAATGAAAGTAAATCAAACAAGACATTTAAACTACAAAAAAAATAAAAGAAGAAATGAAGGACAAAAAAACTGAAAGACATAGAAAAAAATCAAAACTGCAACAGTGAGCCCTTTCCTTTAACAGTTAGTTACTTTGCCAATGGATTTAATTACCACATAGAAGACACAGTTTGGAAGAATAAATTTAAAACCTAAGGTTCAATTATATATTTTATACAAGAGACTCACTTTAGAAGTAAACACACTACATTGATAGAATGAAAAACATGTCCTGTTCAACTACAGTAACCCAAAGAGGGAAGTAGCACAGAGAAAACAGAAAAAAAGGGACTTCATTCAAACCTGTTTTAAGAGACAAGGGCAATTATATAATGAAATAAGGATATTAGTATCACCAATTAGACCCAGCAATTATCAACAAAGATATGCCAACTAAAACTGCCAAGTATATGGTGGATATATTGACAGAACTATGGGAGAAATAAGACTGTTCAAAGGTTACAGATAGAATAGTAAGTACAGCAGATCAACAAGGAAAAACATCACTTGAAAATCACCACAGAATATTTGGACCTCAAAATATATATACAGAACATATTACCCAAAAGCAGAAAATACATTTTTCTCAAAGGCATATGGAACACTTTCCCAGATACATCAGGGCCACAAAGAGCCTTAACACATTAAGAAAAACTACAAAACCCACAAATATGTGTAAAATAAATAGGACCACTCCCCCGAGACAGGGTTTCTCTGTGTAGCCCTGGCTGTCCTGGAACTCGCTCTGTAGATCAGGATGGCCGCGAACTCACAGAAATCTGCCTGCCTCTGCCTCCCTAGTGCTGCAGTTAAAGGTGTGTGCCACCACTGCCCAGCTAAATAAGATATTTTTAAACAACTGATGGTTGAAAGAAGAAATCACAAGGGAAATTAAAACACTCCCTGAAACAAACGAAAACAAAACAAAACCACCATAATATACCAGAAGTGTTAGAATACAACAGAAGTAAGGCTGAAACAGATATGCAGCAAGGGTCTCAATAGCCAAACTTTATTCTTCAAGGAACAAGGAAAAGAGTAAGCAGGAAAACAGATCATAGTAGTGGAAAAATAAAGCAATCAAGAATTAGTCTTTCAAATCTCAAAATTGACAAACTTTTAGCTAGACTGGCTATGAAAGGGGGGGGGGGAAAGCTCAACTAACTAAAATTAGAAACCAAAATGGGGACACTAGGCTGGAGAGATGATTTAGTAGATGAAGTGAGTTCAGATCCCCAGAAAAAGCTAGGCAGGCTCTCTATAATCCCAGGATTTAAGAAGCAGAGAATGGGGAGGGAATCCCTAGGGCAATGTGACTAGAACTGGTTTACCAGTTAGGGGTTCTTTATTCAATAAAGTTGAGATAAAAGAAGAGACCTTATGTTAACTTCAGTCCCCTGCCCTGCCCCCTGCACATATATGTGCACACACTTGCACATATGTGAATACACATACACACAGTGACGTACCTTTAAAAGGAGTGGGGATATCATGGCAGGTTTTCCAGAATGAAAAGTGCAAAACACTATAAACTGTAACTCATCAATATATCCACTGGATAATCGATAAAAGAGAAAAACCACCAACTCTGATTCATGACGAAATATAAATCTAAATAGGTAGTCCTCTAACTACATCTACTATTAAAACCTTCCCAACAAAGGAAACCCCAGGACCATGTGGCTATAACAGTACATTCTACCAACCATCTAAAGAACAGCATTTTCTTTTTTCTAATTGAGACAGGTTCTCATTGTATAGCCTTTAGGTGACCAGGTTGACCTTGAACTCAGAGATCCTCCTGCCTCTGCCTCCCAAGTGTTGGGATTAAAGGCATGCACCACAATACCTGGCCAAATTAAAATTAATTTTGACAACTTATAATTGTCAAATTATAATTTGACAAATTATAATTTGAAAACTTATAAAGGAGGAAGCACTTTCAAAATATGAAGCCAGCAATACCCTGAAATCAAAACCAAACAGGCAGGATAATAAAACTACAGGTTACAGTGTTACAAAAATTCTTCAAAACAAAACCAAACCATAACCAACAACAAAAAGCCCAACATGGGCCAATGAGAGAGCTCAGCCGCCAAGCCTGGCAACCTGAGTTTGATCTTCAGAACCCAGATGGAAGAATGAAAACTGACTTAAGTTATCCTCTGATACACAATCATACACACACAAAAATGTAAAATTAAAAAAGTACTAGCAGACAGAATTCAACAACACATTAAAGGAATTTTGCGAGGTTAGAGAGATGGCTCAGTGGTTAAGCACACTGGCTGCTCTTGCAGAGGATCCCAGGTTTAGGTCCCAGCACCTGCATGGGAAGTGGACAACAATATTAACTCTGGTTCCAAGGGATCCAATGCCCTCTTATGGTCTCTACGGGCACCAGGCACACATGTGGTAAACACTCATATGTACATGAAGTAATAAATATTCACACATATGAAATAAAAATAAAGCTTTTTCAAAATCTATAGCTATAGTCATGATCAAGAAGGATTTACTGACAGAATGTTAGGATGATTTTGCAAAACAATAACAACAAAAATCAATGATGGGTTGGGGAGACAGCTCAGCTGGTAAAAGTAGATTGCCTTGCAAGCAGGAGGACATGTATTTGAAGCCCAGGATCTATGAAAAGTCATGCATGATGGTATACATTTATAATCCAAACACAATAGAGGTAGAGACAGGTGGATGCCTAGGCCTTACAGGCCAGCCAAGACTATTTGGAGTTCCAGGACAGTGAGAGACCCTGACTCAAAAGACAAGATGGATCCTCAGGGTTGTCCTCTGACCTCCACACCACTGTGCTCATGCATATGTATATATGTATAATTGAAAACACACACACAAACATATACAACAGTTAAATACACAATATCAAGATGAAGAAAAATCACGATTTCAAATGATACAGAAAAAGCACTTCACAAAATTCAATAGCCTGCCATAATAAAAACTCAATAAATTAAAAGTAGACGGAAAGTCAACAAAAGTCATATATGAAAAGCCCACATTATACTTAGTGAATAAAGACAAAGCCTTTTCTTTAAACCCAAAAAGACAAAGATGCCCATTTTCATCACTAGTATTCAACAGACTACTAGAATTCTAACTATAAGGCAAGAAGGGGAGGTGAGAGGTATCCAAAAAGAAAGGAGCTCATGCTAATGAACAATGATCTTTAAATAGAAATTAAGAAAATAATTCAATTTATAACATCACAAAGAATTAAAAACACTTAGGAATAAATTTAACCAAGGACTCTAAATGGAAAGGTATTTTCTGCTTAAGGACCAGAATGCTTATAATTGTTAAAACTCTGTCCTACCTCAAATGGCAGATTTAACACCATCTGTTAAAAATCCACTGATGGCTACAAACGGAAAAATCATCCTAGAATTCATATAAAACCTTAAGGAACCCCAGAAAACCAGAATAATATTGAATAGAAAAGTGGAGGGGACTAGAAAGATGATTCTTTGGGTAAAAATCTGCAGTGCAAGGCTGATGACTACAGAACGCAGGTGGAAGAACCACTCCCAAAAGCTGTCCTGTGACTCCCACATGCAGCTGCACATACTCACATACAATTTTCCCCTTGATTTCAAGGAACCTCAGACAACAAAGCAATACTGAGATGTGTATAGATCCTATTACTTCAGAATTTACTATAAATATAAAGTTTCAGTAGTCAAAACAGTATCAAGGATTTAGAAAGAATAAAACAAAATGAAGCAAAATATAGAAATAAACCTTCATACATAGTCAAATCAATTCTGAGAAGGAATCCAAGACCATCAATGAGGGACAGTCTTTTCAACAAATGATGTAAGGATATCCTTAATAAAAGCAGACCTTTTTATAACATACAATTATCTCAAAAATGAATCATAGGTTTCTTCACATAGCAATTACATAGAGCTATGTAACATATTTGGTGATACCAACAGCACATTAGTTACATCAAAATTAAAATTACTTTTGTACCAAAGAAAATGATCAATAGAGTCAAAAGAATGGGAGACTATTCATAAATCATGCATCTGATAAGGCATTTATACCCATACATATAAACAGGCCAATGATATAATTCAGTGGTCAAAGTGATTGCCACAAGTCTTGAAACCTGTTGCATCCTTAGAATCCATGTAAAAGTAGAAGGCAAGAACTCCATGATTTTCTATATGCATACCATGGTATATGTGCCCCCACCCACAATAACTAAAGTGGGTTCCTAGAATAGTCTAAAGCAGAATGAAGTTGTCAAGAGCTGGTGGAAGGAGTTAAGGGTTTTGTTTGTTCTTAGGCAGGGTCTATATAGCCTTAACTGTCCTGGAGCTCACTAAAATGGCTTTGAACTAAAGAGATTCTTCTGCCTTTGCCTCCTTAACATTGGGATTAAAGGTATGCACTACCATGTCCAGCCTACAGCTAAATTTTCTTAAGATGCTGTCTAGAGGTTTTCACAACAATGTGAACTCAGTCAATGCACCTAAACTGTACAGTTAAGAGTGAAGATACCTTTTTTTTTCCAAAATGAAAATATTTTACAAAAAAACCTGAGTGACTACGCAACATTCCATACAAGAGGTCAAAGTTAACATGGACAACCCTGAAACAAACTGTCTCAAGTGGCCCAAGCTGGCTTTATACTTACTATGTAGCCAGGTCAGGCTGACAAATGATAAAGGCCAGGTGTCTGTGGCGCTAGGGATAGATTCCAAGCTTAACGCACGCCAGGCCTGCACTCTACTAACACAGCTACATGATCCAGCCACTAAAACTATCTTAAGAGTTTTATGCTTAGATATGTGGATTTAAGAGAAAGGCTTGCCCATAAAGCTACACACATGGACTGCAATAGAAATCATATATATATAGAATATAATGAAAAGTGGCACGATTGAAAATGTTGAAGAGTATATGGGAGCTAATTTCAGTATTTGAAGAGTCTGTAACTAGGAATTAAAAAGGCAATGGGTCAGGCTTGGGATCCCCTTATAAAGACACACAACATAGATAATTTAAAGAAACTTACTATTTTCTCTTTAAATAATGTAGACCCTTGAACTCCAGGGTATAGTTTTATCACTTGCTTGCTATATTTACCTTGCATAACACAGTGCTAAGTGGAGCTCATCCCAAGACACCAAAATCCGAACAATTCTTAAAAGCTTTTCATGTTGATAACTGTTTTGTGGTTGATTATAAGCTCTTTATCGCCTTTAGTTAGTGGAATCAAACAATGCTGGGGGTGGTCTGCTTCCACCTAGTGCTGAGCTGCTGTGAGGTCTTCCTGCTTCACAATCCTGCTCTGTGTGCGGAGAGTACTCATGGGCTTTCACAGGTTTTTTTCACATTTTAGTTTTTCAAGACAAGGTCTATGTAGCCCTGGCTGTCCTGGAACTCTCTCTGTAGATTACACTAGCCTCGAATTTAAGGGATCCACATGCCTGGTTTTAAGATTTATTTTTACTTTTTTTGGTTGTGAGTCTAGTCTTTAAAGGCTGAGCCATGTGTGTGAAGGTGCAGAAGCCAGGAGAGGGTGTTAGATCCCCTAGTACTGGAATTACAGGCAATTGTGAGCTGCCCAACAAGGCAGAGAATAGGTTCTCTTCAAGAACGGCAAGTGCTCTTTACCACTGAGTCCTTTCTTCCAGCCCTCCTTTTTACTGGAGGTAGGGTTTCAAGACAGGGTTTCTCTGTATAGTCCTGGCTGTCCTGGAACTCTCTAAGTAGACCAGGCTGGCCTTGAACTCACAGAGATCCACCTGCCTCTGCCTCCCAGTGCTGGGATTAAAGGTGTGCGCCACCACACCCGGCTTTAGTTTCCTACAGTGTTTTAGTCCATAAGGTCCATGTTCCTTCAACTGTCCAAAGTCCATTGTGGTGAATAATACTCTATTTTTAAAAATCAAGGTCTCAGCTTGTATTAGAAAAGGATTTTTGTAATTAATGGGTTACTCATAAAACCTTCTTGATCTACAGAAACTCTTAGGATTTTCAAGAATTGTCAAAATTGAACAAGAAACTCTTTATTTGTCCAACTGTTATATGTAATTTTCAAGTACATCTGTATTTCCTTAAGAGTTTCTTAATCTTTTCTTTCTACAGATTAACTCCCTAGATTAAAAAAAAAAATTCCTAACAAGAGAAACAAAAAGTAAGTTTGCTGTATTTCAACCCCAACTGGGATACCATAATATTTATTTGAATAGGGTCTTGCTAAGTATCAGAGAGTTGGGGGAGCTCCCAATACGCTTATCTTCACTTGTTGAGTGCTGGGATTATAGGCATACACAGTGGTATATAATTCAATTCTGATTCCAAATGCTCAGGGTGATGTAAGAATTGACAGCTCTAAGGAATCAAGCTTCCTCCACAACACTGTCCTGATTTTAGACATGGACTGCAAGTGTTCAATCTTCAGACCATCAACATTCCAGGGTGGCTGTAAAGTGGAGAATTCTCAAGAACTTTTTGGTTTAAAAGTTTGCTGAATGACTCACAGAACTGAGAAAAATACTGTCTTTCAATAAAACATTATAGTTATGAATAGTCTTATTAGAAAAGATACAAATGAGGCCAAACAGGTCAATGAAATTTCAGCAGTGGTCTAGGGGAATGCAGAGCTTCTGTGCCCTTGTTCTCCTGGCACATCAACACAGTTTGCAGTGTCCAGAGCATGTAAGAGTCTTGCCATACATGGCACCTGAGTTGTCCAGAGTTCTTTACCAGGGCCTCACTATCAAGGTATGATTTATTAATTAAATAGGCAATGTGATTAGCCCAAGCATATTTCTGGTGACCAGCCTCCACCCTAGAGAATCTCAGGAGCCTGCGATTATATAAATAAGTATAATAAAGATACTTCAAGAATCCTAAGGGTCTGAGATATTCCTTGCCGGGAGCCAGGGAAAAGGTCCAGACAAATTCCTCATTATATGACACGAAGTAGTAAAAAGAACTGTTTTTGTCTTCACAGAGAATAATCTCTAAGACAATGATGAGACAACCCCCCAAAACCAGAATGAAATTTTATTACATACAGTTTATAGAAGCAAGAGTAGTACTCTTCTGTACAAAGCAGAAAACTGGTCTTAAATACAACGGAGAGAAACGTTAGTCCTACAATAGGTGATACAAGTCGAACCATTAGAGACACACTAAAACATTTAAAAGTATCTTCTTTCTCGATAGTCCATTGTGCATTTTTTAGAGATGGGGACACGTCCCAGGCAAGGTCACAATGGCATTTTATTGCCCTCGATGCTGATTTTCACTGCATGTGCAGATCTGCTTTTTTTCCTGATATCTGTGAACTTTCTCATCTGTTTATCCAGTCGACTGATACCTTTCTTGGAGGATGCCTGAAACTAAGATTGGGGAAAATTGAAGAACAAATTATTGAAATACGTAAATCTAGCAGTCAGAAGAGTTCGAAGCTTAACAATAACCAGAATATACTTTGGTGACGTCAAGGACAGAGCAAGTGTTAGAAAAAAACACTACCAACCTCTCAGCGATGACAAAAAGTGTCTGTGCTTTAATTTTAATTTTGCTACAGCCCATAAAAACTTACTAGACGACAGACGGGGGAAATATAGAAACTATATATAGTCTTCCCAATTTCATCACTGACATCTGACTATATGGGCCTAACTACTTGACACGATTTCAAACAGTGCTGGTACTAAAAAACACAAAACAAAGAAAAGCTGTCGAGAGAAACTAAACATAACCAACACACACAAATCCTAAGGTGCTGAAGTTCTAGATTCAGCCTTGGGGTAAGTCTCTACTCTGCTTCAGCAGGATCCAGAATTCTATGCACAGTATACCTGGTGGTCACTACTACTACTACCAGAACATCTCTCACTTGCTTTTATGTTAAAGCCTTAATTGGGTTTTCTGTTGTTTTGCTTTGTTAAAAATAAATATTTAAAAAATATTTTGAATAATGCGTATCTTACAAAGATGTGGTTCCCAAAGAACTGACGGCTTTTGTAGTATTTGAATGCTTGGTTACCAGGAAGTGAAACTATTTCACAGGATTATACAGATTAGGAGATGTGGCCTTATTGGAGGAAGTGTGTTACTTTAGGTGGGTTTTGAGGTTTCAAAAGCCCATGTGAGGCCAAGTTTCTTTTTCTTTGCCCATGGATCATGGATATAATTCTTAGCTATGCTCCAGCGTCATGAATACTACCATGCCTCTGTGATGATGATAATAGACTACCCTTCTGAAACTGTAATCAAGCCCCTAATTAATTGCCTTCTTTTACAAGGGTTAGCTGGGTCATGGTGTCTTTTTACAGCAATAGAACAGCAACCAAGACAGTGCGTGACCCTCCCTGCTGGCTACATTGCTACATAGGTTGCAGTGGGGTTCAGGGCAGTTGGGGAAGGGGAGAAATAGTCGTCAATGATATTATCCAGCAGTAAATACTGAATGCTACAATACTGACTTGACAAGCAAGATGTGTGCCTTGGTACAATATTGGCATGACTATTACAGAGGTAAGAAATCACTTTCTCAGTCTATTTGAGTTTTGGTCTACAGGAGAGAATTCATGACTGGTACCGTAAATCTGACCAAAATCCACTCTTTGGGAGGCCATATGAGCCCTAGGACAGGAATCTACTACTACTGTGTTGCAACACTGTCATGTGGTCAAAGTGCTTTCAAACATCTGTGGTTATATTCATGACATTAGTCGTGCACTCTGTCTTGGTCAAAGAAGCTTCTTTCTACAGTGGGGCAGCAGCTAATGTAGTGATTCATAATTATCAAAATGCTGGGAATAAATGACTGTTCAGATGTCAGCCATAAATGGGAGAGCTGTATCAACACCCCCAGGCTCAGGGAACACAGAGGAAGAGGGGATGGAAAGCATGTAAGAGCCAAAGGATGGGGAGGAATGCTGTGAAATACTACCTTTTGAACATAGATGGTTGTTGTACACATGAGCTCATTGCAGCTATGGGTACCTGCCCAAGGTTAAGCCAACAGGATCGGTCAGCATTCCAGCAGACAGTATAAACTGGACTCAATGAATTACAAAAACTACATATAAATAAGCAATAGTGAGATGGCTCAGTGGGTAAAGGCACTTTCTGCCAAGCCTGATGACCTGAGATTGATTCCCAGAACCTATGTAGTAGAGTACTCTGACATTCATAGATACACTGTGACACACACACACACACACACACACACACACACACACACACACACGCACATGGACAAACACAAGTAAATTTAAAAAATTAAAACCAAAAAACTATAAGGAGAAGAGATGAAGGTCAGAAGGTATAGGGCTATCCGGAAGGATAAGGGAGGGGATGTTGGAGGGTGAGTGATAGGAAGATACTCTGTATACATGAATGAAATTGGCAAAAAATAAATAAGATATTAAAAAAAAGAACAGTAAATGATTAGAGAGACAGGTGTTTTTCTTTTACTTCTCCCCATATATTTACTATTAAATCACTTTCAAAGCTATTGTCTCAAAAACACTAAAGAAGGTAAGCTGGAGACTGTCTTGAAGTTGTGCACTGTGAGCCTTCTTCTGAGTCCATTCATGGACTCAGCCTCACCCTAACATGAAGCTATTTCATCACTAGCCAAGGAACAAGCTTTCTATGGCAATCTTCAAGTTTTCTAGGAATATCCCAATTTTAAACATTATTCAATGTGCTGGTACTCTCAGCACAAAAATTTACTGTCAAATGAGAACAAGCTGTACTACCAGCAACACATCTCCTAGTCTTCCTTTCATTTTTGTACAGGGAGTTGGTGGAGGTCTTACTGCTCAAATCCCTGGTAACCACCTGACTCCCTGAAGCTCTCCATACCAAGCTGGACTTCTCTTTGCTCATTCCCAGGATCTTCCCTAACAGTCTGCACCCTACAGGATCTGTTTGGCATCAGCATCAGGGACACAGCCAGACTACTCTTGAGCATTGCATATATGCAGCCTGCAAGGTGCTCAATGAGCTAAGTTTCATCACAGACATCCAGTACCTAAACATGTCAAATCCAATGATCTTCATTTCCCAATTCATCAATTCTGTAAACATTCCTTTGGACATTAGGAAAGCCATAATGTTTTATCAAGAAAGAGAGAGGGGGAAAAAAGCCTGTAGAACACTAGCAAAGAGCGTTTGCTAAAAAAAACAAAACAAAACAAGGGGTGAGGTACAAATGAGAACATATTAAATTACAAAGAATGGGAGTCAAATGGAATTTTCCATGTTAAGTTAAAACCAAACCTTCAAACTCAAGTTATAAGAGCATGATCACGCTGCAGACTGAAAATATTTAAAAAGGTTAATGTTTTGCATGCATAAAAAGAAGTAAAAAGCAATACTCCAAAATGTTAGTGTTAACTTACAGCAAAGTACAAGTTCTATTACTTTTACCTGTAATGCCTGTATTTAAAACTTTACACAAAAAAAGGCATTGCCTCCACTTTACTTTTTTTATTTTTTAAAGTCCCTCCCAGCATTCAGAAATAGATGATTCTGTGAGTTTGAGACCAGTGTGCTCTGCAGAGCAAATTTTGGGTCAGCTGAAATTTTGTCTCTCAAAATAGTTTTAAAATTCAGAAATAAACAAATTAGTATATATTCACATAAACCACCAAGACTATTACACATAAAAACGATAAATCTCCAATGTGGATTAATAAGGAGAAACGAACAAAATGACATGCCCCTCTGGCTGACAGAGCTACATTTTGGCAACCTCTATAAATATCAACAAATTACGACTAGAAAGACAGGAAGGGAGCTCTCCCTTCCACTGAGAAAAATGACAGCTATCTCCTACCCCTGAGGGTATATATGGGATCCTAGCCACCAACAACAGCAGACGGGCACACAGCCCCTAGAAACATGGAATGTGCTTCCGGAGCAGACTAGACAACAAACTTTTATTACATTTTCATGGCTGCATTGCCATTTCCATTTTTCAAAAACAAAAGTACTAGGAAAGGAAATATGAATATGAATAAGGTGGCTAAAACGAGGGATGATACAATAAGAAACAAGAAACAGGTAATAAAGGGATATCAAGGAGAAGTGAACACTGATTTAGATATGGAGCAAACTAGAAAAAAGGAAGTTCAGGAAGATGTCCTCTGCATAAAATGAACACCTTTTATTTATTTTCAGCTGTTAACTGCACGGTCATAACAGTGTCAAGCAGCAGGAACGTGAGTGTACTGAGGGAAGCTGAGGAAGAAGCACAAAAGGAGCAACAGACACTGTAGCCAGCAGCAAAGTGTTTTCCTGATCTCAATGTCAGTGGCTTATGAGCAGGTGATGAAGACCTGTTGAATACACCTACATACCTAGTAAAAGGTTTTATGTAATATATTCTTGATAAATGCTACCATGTCATTGGCTATAGGGAAAAAAAAGTCACTTCCTGTTCACAAACAAACCACTAAGCAGTTTGTATGACTGTAGTTCAGACTATGATTTTTGGGCCCAAATAAAAAAAAGTCTTTTTTTTCCAGCTAGTATGCCTTTAATCCCAGCACTCAGGAGGCAGAGGCAAGCATCTCCAAGGCCAGCCTGGTTTACAGAGTGAGTTCCAGGACAGCCAAGACTAAACAGAGAAACCCTGACTCAAAAAGACCAAAAAAATTCTTAAAAGGCCTAAAAAAAAAAAAAAGGGAATAAATCAGGAAAAACAAAATGTTTATTTGGAAAGTAATGATCTATTAGTCTCTAGGATACTGACAAAGAAGGGGACTTCAGTACCAACTCCTAAGGATTCAGAGGCCTTATGTTTCAGGATGCTGGCCAAGATCACCTTGGCTGACGAAAAAAGCACACACTTGTTTCCACTCTGCTGGCAACTCAAGCCCATGCACAGCTCATGCTTCCTTGGGAATACCTCTTGTATACACACTCTGGAGGGGCCAGGACTACAGTGGCATTCTGTTGCCTTCAATGCTGAACTTGACAGCACGGTGCATTTTGCTGAGCCTCTTCTGTTCTGCAAACCGCCTCTTATGCTTTTCCAACCGACTTAGGCCCTTTTTAAGAATACCAGGCTAGAAAGAATGGTTTGATGGGAGAAAAAGATTACCAAGAAACAGCATTTGGGTAATGTCTTCATTGATGATAGGGAAAGTGTCTATCCTGACAATTTCACATCAGATGGAGAGAAAGGGAGTAGAGGCTCTGAAAAAGCAGGTAAATTCTATTCTCATGACTCTTTACATGAATGAACAAATACCTGAGCGATCCCAAAACAGATCTTGTGAATCAAATAAGCCTAAACGGCTATAAACATTATTAAACTCAAAAAAAGAAGAAACAATTCCAGTGGTCTTGCTCTTCCTCTGCTCACTCACCCTGGATGACTCCATTTCTACATTCCACTTGGGTCTGACGACATAGTCCTTGTTGGATGGCATTGGGACTCTAGCACGGGCGCAGAAGCCAGGATCTCCAGGTCTAAGAGCCCTGAAGAAGGAAAGAAAAACTGCTTATTTAGCTGGCCACAGCAGAGCCTAAGTGAGATTTCAACCCTGTATTCCTAGACCCATTCCATTCAGCTGCAATGTTTCAAATCTTAACCAATAATGTCCTACCTCCCGTCATTCCATCACCAGACACACTGCTATAATGTATGCACTATCATTTAATGCCAATTTCCTCTTTATATGAATTCTTTCTTCTCGGCTTCAAATGTGACCATGCCCTGTACTTTCCAAGGCTAGTTTCAAAAAAAACTTTGCTTTTAAATTTATGTGTTTGAAGCATTTGCCTTCATATATACACATGTACTACTAGAAAAGGAAGTCAGACCCCTTGGAACTGGAGTTACAAGCAATGTGAGCCACAATGTGAGAGCTGGCAACTGAAAGTAAGATTTCTGCAATAACAGTAAGTGCTCTTGAGCCAGTCTCACCAACTCAAAGAGTACTCTGAATCCTAAGTTCTCTAACTAGTCTTAAGAGTCACTAGGAGATGAGGGGAAATGAGGTTGTCAAAGTGATCCTCCATTCTTGGAGAAAACTTGTGAGGTAACTACAAATTCCCTAGCAGTAATAGAGATTTCAGTATCTCTCTCAGTAGTAACAACTTTCCAAACTGTAGTTATCACAGTGAGGGTACTCACTGATACAATCTATTTACCTTATCGCCTTTACATTTCTCAGTTTACTTGGTTCATTTGTGCTTACATTTAGTTCTAGACAACGATGAAAATAACCGAGCTACACTAAGGTCACAATTCTTCTGTCAGTGTCTGGGCATTTAAGCTAAGTTTTATTCAAAATTATTCTCATTTATGGTTTATATACATTGCTGTTCTGCCTGCATATCTGTGTGAGGGTGTGAGATCCCTGGAACAAGAGTTACAGACAGTTGTGAGCTGCCATGTATGTGAGTGCTGGGACTTGAACTCAGGTCCTTTGGAAGAGCAGCCAATACTCCAACCACTGAGGCATCTCTTCAGACCCAAGTCACTCAATCTTTAGGAACTCCCCAAAGGCTATGAGAAGAGCAGACTTACACCTTCTGGAAGTAGGGAGCAAACATCTACACTATCACCTCCAGGCTCTGTTCCAGTGTGTATGAACACATCTCTACTGGCTCCTCGGCTACACTTCTCTGCCAAACTGGTTAGTTCATTTCTTATTATAGACTGTAAATTGAATATTTTCCCCAACTATGGAGATAACCATCAAATCTGTGTCTAGTCTGACTAGACCCCATGGTGTTTCTAACAGTATCTCACTAAATATCTCAGTGAATAGCTTGAAAAGTAACTTATTAACCAATTTCTTCAAGTCTACTTACTCATCCTTAGTTAGTGGATGGTAGTATCGCTGTCTACATACTGAATGGAATCTTCCATTGTAAGCCAATTTCTCCCTGACACTCTGAAAATAGGACTGCACGCAAATGCACAAATCTTGGTCTACCTCCCTGCATGAAACTATACTTAACAACAGGGAAATGTTTAAGTTTCTTTTGTAAGCTTTAAGCTTTAAACTTAAAAAGCAATCTAGCACTTTGCAAGCACCAACAAAATACTTATTAAATGAACTATTTTCTTAATTTTTCAGAGCACCCAATACATTGTTTTGCAGTTATTCAATAAACATTAAAATGAAAAAAAAATTACCCTTTGTCAATGGTAACACATAACTTAATACTGTTCTTATAATAAAGTAAAAAACAGAAATCCTCTATACATGCTAAGAAAAATCAAGACAAAACTCTTACTTTTCCTCTCCTGTCAGCACCTTCTCCAAGTCTCTTCGTGGTGTCTGACCACCAGTGCTGGAAAAAGAACAAACAGTGAGACACCTGGATCTTAAATTCTTACAACTAGGAAAAGCACATCAAAATATCAAATTTATACCATACTAAGTGCCTTTATATTGAATCATAGGAAGCACTTTTAAAAAACATTTTGTGTGTGTGTTTGTGTGCGCGTGTGTGTGTACGCGCATGAGGGTGTACAGTGGCAAAGGATAACTTCTCTTTCTGACTTAACTTGGGTTCTTGGTATCTCTCAGGTCGCCAGACTCTCACAGCAAGTGCCTTTACCTTTAGAGTCTGAGAACTTTACCTTGCTTGCCTGAGAACTTGTAATTCTTTTAAAGGTTATTATTCACCTTAATATTCATTCATGCAGTATGTTTCATTACAGGTGTTCTACACAAGCTATACTTGCTACCGATAACCCTGCCCACCCAGGACGTATCCAGAATACTGATAGATTGAACCAATATTTTTTTCTCCTAGGGTTTTGAAACTGGTACTGAAACTTGTTTTTTGCAAATGGCTAAAATACTACAATCTCTAGCACTCCAGTACTGTGAGGGAACACACTCCATTCAGCTGTCACAGAAAGGACTGCCCCACACACTGCTACATTAAATTACACTTGTGCATCATATCTGTTCCCTCATACCTGCTCATTCTTCGCCGCTGAGGCATCTGTTCTAGATCTCTCTGCTCCCTTTCTTCTCTTGTCATTCCTTTATAGTTGGAGGTAAGTCCAAATATAGGCCGAGACCACTCATCTGTAGTAAAACAATAATTTAGTTCATAAAATAGTATTTCTCCTGAGTTTTTAAATAATCATACCCTAGTATTGGGCAATATTATTTATAGAGTATTATATAGAGTATTCCTTTTTAAAATGTGGAACACAGGAAGAATGAAAACAAACCTAGAGTTCATATCAGTATGTACTTTAGTTAGGATCTAGATTTCTCTGGCATACACAGGTAAGCATAAGAAAAGGTCTCAGAGGCTAACAACAGTGGCAGTGGCTAATAACTTCCTTGACAGTAATGCTCTCCACATATTCTCTCATTTAATCTTTATAGTAACCCAAAGAAAACAATTATTAAAATCCCTTTATTACAGAGGTGGATGGAGACCAAGCTTGAAGCTTAAGTCACTAGCTGAGGATTTGCAGGAAGGTGGTAGAGTCAACACCACGAACTAGGCATGGCTAGTTATAAGGCCTCCATTCTACCCTCTCCCACATTCTTGGTTCACAGCTAGAAGACATATGCTTTTAATCGCTATAGTAAATACTGGAAAACATTTAAATGAACAAGAGCATTTTAAGTATATGAGAAAAAAGTAATTGTGCATAGGCACTAAAATTCTTCCATTCCCCTTTACTGAATCATTGTAAACAAATACTGGTAAAAATATAGTTTTTATATATGCACATCTTTCCCTCTATAGACATTAAACAAATAAAAAGCAAACTTTACATACTGATTAATTTCCCTGCCATATCCTTGTTGGACCTTGATTCCTTGGGGTGTTTATACAGATACATCACTGCTCGTCCAATTCCACTATGTTTCAGGGTCTCCTGGCTCACACTAGGTAGCTGGGGAACAAAAACACATACACGCATATTAATTACTCGGGAGCTAGGAGGCATGCTGATTTAGAGAGCTCCAAGGCCTCATTTGTTTACGTTAGAACTAATATAAAATTCCATTTTTAGAATCTAGGAAGACATAGAACATCCTTTGGGGCTGACATCAAAAGTCAAGGTTTCAGTATTTGTGAAGTAAGATATATAACAACGTGAGGAAATACCAATTATACATACTTATGAAGATAGCAGTTCAGCTCAGGCCTTGGACCTAAGCCTGAATCTATGAACACCCACCAGCTAGCTGCATGTCCTCTGATAAACCATTTAACTAGTCTTTGTGTCCTCATCTATAAAATGGAGGCATTACTCCTATCTTACAAGTTTATTGTGAAAGACAGATAAGCCAATACAGACAAAGAGCACCTAGCACAGTGTTAGGCACACAGGTTCTTCAGATGTTAAGCAGCTTGTCTAAGGTGTCCTAATCATACAAAAAGGGAACCCAACTAGAGATTCCAATTCAAGTTTATAATCTCTAAATGTAACACACTTTCTACTTCAAGTGCCTCTTGACATGCTCACTGCCAGACTGCTCTTCAAAGAAACCCATAGCTGCACTAAGAACTTTCCTTGAAAACTGCTGTCAACCAAATTTTGTAAGGTTTTTCTTTTTATGCTCATTTTATTAGGTACAGTCTCTTTTCCCAAAATTCCTTTTTTGGCAAGCTGTAGCAGAACAAATTTTTAAGTAAATGGTACAAAAAGACAAGTCTTGACTATAGAAACCATATTAGATATTTAATGAATTACACATTATCTGTGCTAACCTCTTGCAGAATCTTCAACAATTCTTCCCGAATCTTCAGTGCAGGCAAACTCCTATCTGGTAAAGGTGAAAGCCATTCTTTGATGGCAGACATCACACCACTGTCAATAAATGTTTCTTTAAGGTCCTGCCTGCAACAGTAATGATAATAATGATGAACACGATAATAATGCCAAGCCTATACCCTCTGATTTCACTTACAAAGTGATGCTTAAAAAAACTGCTTCTATGGGGCTGAAGAGATGGCTCAGCAGTTAAGAGCACTGACTGCTCTTCCAAAGGTCCTGAGTTCAATTCCCAGCAACCACATGGTGGGTCACAACCATCTGTAATGAGGTCTGGTGCCCTCTTACTAACCTGCAGGCATACATGCAGGCAAAATATTGAATAATAAATAAATAATTTTTAAAAACTGCTTTTAAAGAATTATTTATATACTCAATATTTACTTAACTCCTCTTTTAGTTTCAAAAGCAGCATAAAAGCTTACACTCAAAAGTAACTCACTAAGATATGCAGGTTTAATAAAATACATTAAAACTGGTATCAATGATAGTCAAAAAAATGAAGCCCAATTATTACAACTAAACAACAACAACAACAACAAACTACCTATATTTTGTTTCAGAGCGGGAAAAACAACTGTGCTATTCTCTCAGAAAACAAAGAAAATATAGCTTTCCTGAAGGGGGAACAATATCTCAATTGATTACCAATATTTAAATTCTGCTTTAGGCAATGGAATAAATTAGAAAATGTAACATATCTATGTGAAATCTGCAAAATAATTTTGCCTGTCAGAATGGAGAAAATCATTTTCAAACTGGCTCACTGGCATGCTAAGGCATTTCTTCAACTCCAAAACTAGGCTGTAACTTTATTCAGTGAGAAAACAAAGCTGCTTCTGACCGTGAGTAAACTAATCAAAGTATTTCTCAACAAGAATTTAGGAAGAGCATCATTAAAGCAGAGCAATGACTGTGATGTACAAGTCAAATAATTCTGTACAAAATGAGCTCCAGGCAGCATCTCCCAAGATTTGCTGTTTCCTACTACCTTGGGAAAAATAGATGAAAATTTACAAGGCCTCAATTGTCTACAAAGAATAAAGTTAGTAAATTTCCAGGTTTTCTTTAATATTACCAGTTTTCTGTTTGTAAAAAGTACTAAGTTTTAAAAAAAAAAAATTATGAGCCGGGCAGTGGTGTTGCACACCTAGCGGCCCTCAGAAGGCAGAAGCAGGTGGCTCTCTGTGAATCTGAAGCCAGCCTGGACAGCCAGGGCTACATAGTGCTTACAATGCACTTCCTGTTTACTTAGGTAATATTATATCCTTCTAAAGTCTTTGATGAAGTTGAAATATATAGTTATAGTTTTCCTTAGTTATGATAAAAGATAAATAGACATAAATATAACTAATTCTTGCTTGATAACTGTTTTGTTGTATGTAATTTTACTATGTTGAAGTTGAAGCCTTTCTTTTTTTGTTTAAGCAAAAAAGAGGAAATGGTGTAGGAGATCCTTTTGTCTATGTGTAGCTTTCATTGGTTGAATAAAGAAACTGCCTTGGCCTCCTGATAGGGCAAAACTTAGGTAGGCAGAGTAGACAGAACAGAATGCTGGAAGAAGGAGAGAGAATCGCCAAGGAGCTGCCAAAATCAGAATGCTAAATCTTTCCTGGTAAGCCATGACCTCGTGGTGATACACAGATTAGCAGAAATGGGTTAAATCAAAATGTGAGTTAGCCAATAAGACGCTAGAGCTAATGGGTCAGGCAATATTCAAATGAATACAGTTTCTATGTGATTATTGAGTGGAAGCTAGCCAGGCAGGACGGGACAACAAGCAGCCAGATCCTCCTGTTACAGTATAGCTCTAGCTGACCAGGAACTCATTCTGTTGACTAGGCTGGCCTTGAAATCAGAGATCTGCCCTGCCTCTGCCTCTAGAGTGCTGGGATTAAAGGATTGCACCACCACTACCCACCTTGAATATCATTTTATTAAAAGGATTTCTTTTCCAGGAAAACAAAATACTCACTTTTTAAGGTGCATAACCACGGTAGGCAACAAGGTTAATTTTTTCAGTGCTGGCTTCTTTTGATTATTCAACTGCCTGTCTTCCTATTCAGAAAACAGAATACCCCCCCAAAAAAGGCTTTAAAATAAAGCAATATTAACTTTTAATATACAATAATAACAACTACTACAATTCTGAACCTTAAAATAATTATTCAAAGGAAATGTAATTTTCCTGAAAGAAAGGAGGAGCTGTTTTACACAAAGCCAAACTCCTAATCTGTCCAGTCAATCAAACCCACAAATATTGTTACATTACGTTTTCATGATCAGAACTGAGAGACAACTTCATTTATAGTACTAAAAAGTTTTCCAAGCTTTTGGAATTCATTCAAGGAACAGTATATAGCTGTGAAAGTCTGGTTTATCTTCAAGAATTATCTTCCATAAGCAAGGAAAGTATGGCCTATTAACAAAAAATATTACTTGGGTAATTTCTACTTTTTTTTTAATTAGAAAAAAAATACTAAATTCTACAAATATACAATAGCATATCCAATGTACATTTCAACAAACACAGGGTTGTTCATTTAACTAAAGATCTACCTATTTCTCTTGTCACACTCGAACTGTTTCAAATAAAGCCAAGACAGATCATCAAACCCCATGGAATATCTCAGCAAGGGGCTGGTGGTGAAGCTGAGTGGTAGAGCACTTGCTTTTGGCTGCCAAGTGCCTGGGTTCAGTTCCCAGCATCTCAAAACAAAAAACAAAAGCATCTCTGCAAATTCTCAAGGATCAGAATCAGTTTTTAAACACATTTGCCAATTTTCAATAATTCAATAGATATATATCTATTTCCAAATTATTGGAATATATATTCCAGTACAATGAGTCAGCTACAATCTATTGATCAGGGGTAAAACAAGTGACTTTTTAGCATATTTTGTATTTAAATAGACATCAACCTTGGTAGTGGACCAAGGTAGCTATGACAGCAAACCTCCCATTCACTTAAAAAAAAAAGATTCATTTTTACTTAACTTTTTTTTCTAACCATTAAGCTAAACTTTGAAAATTAAGATTATTTATAGGATTAAAATTTAGCAAGTACATACTTTATCACAAAAAGCAACAAATCTTTTACAGCAGTCTAAAGTTAAACATTTAAGAAAAAAAGATACCACACCATCAATCTTGTGGGGAAAGAAGGCAGTAACTAGGAAGTGACATCCTACCTCAGCAGCTTCATTCATCTTTACAATCATGGCGCTTACAACATCATCTGCATCACTAATAAAAGTGCCCCCATCTCGATTTCGCCTACGTTTGCCAGACATGTTCTTTTTTCGTTGTAACATCATCTCAAAATCCGACAGAAAGTCCATACTAGGAAGTAACACACACAAAAAATCAAGTTCTTTAATCATACACCTTCTTTAACTACAATTAAGAACATCAAATTGTCTAATCTTGTGTCAAAGAAGTGATACTTTTGTTTTGTTTTGAGACAGGGTCTCTATACATAGCCCTGGCTGTCCTGGCTGACCTCTAACTCACAGAGATCCACCTGCCTCTGCCTCCCGAGTGCTGGGATTAAAGGTGTGTACCACCATGCTTGGCAAAGTGCTACTTTGCTGTATGAATTTAGCAGTTACTGTATCCAGGGTAGATATTAGAATGAACAGCTGTTTTTTAAAAGTACTTTGACCTTGAAGAATCCTCATGGAAAACAGCAATTGTTTTGCTTAAGGAGTATTGCAGCCACCCCAGAACTTTGGTCTTATATTATTGTGTACTGCAAAAGATACATAATAATGGACTGGGGAGAGGGCAGGCAATGATACTTTCCTTTAGAGAGACACACAGATTAGGGACCTTGGTATGAGGAAATACTTGTGTGTAACAATCAATAAATATGCCTTTGTACAGCTGTTGGAGAGGGGTTCAGTCCATGAGAGAGGCTGGACTTTCCTGCTGACACATAGGCATTAAAATTTCATCTTGGGCATAGGATCAAACTAGATCCTCTGAATGTGGGTGACAGTTGCATAGCTGGGGCAGACTGCAGGGCCACTGGCAGTGGAACAAGGATCTATCCCTACTGCTTGTACTGGCCTTTGGGGAACCCATTCTCTTTGGAGGAATACCTTGTTCAGTTTAGATACAGTAGGGAGGGCCTTGGACCATTCCCAAAGCAATGTGCCTTACCCTCTCTGAGGAGTAGATGGGGGTTAGGAAGGGTATGTGGAGGAATTGGGAGGAGGGAAGGGAGTGGAAACTGGGACTAGTATGTAAAATTAAAAAGATAGTTTGTTTTCTTTTTTAAAAATACTCATCTTGGAATGCCTTCTTTCTTCAACCAACCTGCGCTACACGATACATCCCGACACTACTTTTTAAAAAAGCTCAAATATGCATAACTTACTACAAGAATGAACCTTACACTTCATATCCAGTTCTTGCTCTGAACTACTGATAAATATTAACACAAACAGGCCCAAGATTTTTATATGCCACACTTACAACTGTCATCTATGAGCTTGAGAACAAACATTTCAAATCTTTGGTTAGGAGCACATTCAGTTGAGGTGAACTACTTTTTTGGGAATAGAAAATGTTCAATTATTTGAATGCTTTGTCTTATGAACCATGACTATGAAAAAAGAAACAACGACCACTTTTTAGTAATGAAGAGCACAACTTAAAACAAAGTGATTACATGTACGCTAAGTGCCTGGCCTTTATAGCTATCATTACTTACACTTGAGAGGGTTACCTCACTCTGCCACATACTAATACATTCAAATTTCTCAAAGTAGCACCTAAATTCTGCTTCTTAATTCTTGCACATCACTGAAAGCATAATCTTCACAACTGTGAACAGTGGTTATCACCCCATTCGTGGCATCATCTTTTTCTGGACACGGTTCACAATTATTTTAACAGAAGTTAAGCAGAGTATAATTAAGAAACATTTCTGTATTTACTTTAGATTTGCTTCCCCTGCCACCCAAAATGAACTTTTTTCCTCAAAATTTTTTATATTAAGTTATTTTTCAGTAGAGTTTATCTTATAAGAAATAAATTAGAAATATCATATAATTTAAGACACCTGAGCACAAAGCAAATAACAGCGAACATCTCATTGACAGTATATTGAGGAGGTGAAGGAGAAATAAGAAACATACTCTTCCAAGTCTGGGAACCTAGATGAGAAACAGGAAAGCTCAACAGTCTCCACCTTCACCTTTCTTAGTTTGGTCGAACTTTCTTAAAACCAACACAAAAACACTCACTGCTTTCCTCTTTTGATGTTATCATCAGAGTCTGAGTCTTCAGCTTCTTTCAGCTGTGTTTCATTCTTCTCTTCCTCCAAATCCTCTTGGTTAAAACCCTAAAGGTACAGTGCGTTAGCTCAGCTATCATAACCACCCTACAGATTTCCTTCTTCAAACAATTCCCAACTTTTCACATTAAATAATATAGCCACGAAGGACAAAGAGTACTGAACAGGTATCAAGAGCGGTATAGCAAAAGCTCCCCCCTTGGCCACTGGTGTGGGAATCTGTTTTGTTCCAGGAAGCACTCCCATGCTTTAGTCTTTTATCATACAAATGTCAGCATACTATTCAGAGGGTAGGAGATACTGACCTGCATTTTCCAAATTCTCTAACCTGAAATCCTTTTATTCTTTGTAAGGCTTTGTACTATTTCACTGTATTCGAGAACTGCTACCACAAAAACAAAACAATGCAATTAAAACAATAGTCCTATCTTAAACTTACTGTAAATTCCTCTTCCTCTTCATCACCAGATTCTCCAAATATATCTGCAATAAGATTTCTAGAAAACCAAATATAAAACCACCCATCAGCTTTCTTACACTTGCATACGTATCATTTTACAAACAAGGTATTTATAGATAGTAAAATGTGCAGACCTTAGGCACAAAGGTCAACGAGCTTTAACAAACATAAGCACTCATATAACCAGTGCCCTAAGCAAAGAAGCCTATTTCTCTAGACATTTCCTCATAGCCTTTTCTCATGTAGCACTCAACCCACAGGTGAGGGCATTTTGTTTCATTTCCAACACTCTACTGACTGTGCCACATCCTCAACCCCTTACAGCCCTTTTAAATAAGCCTTCCACCACCAAGACCCAGAGGTAACATGATCACTGACCCCAGCACCATGAATTTTGCTCTTATAAACATCACATAAATGGAGCCATAACACACTCATTTCAATCTCCTCAGTCAACATATTGAGACCCATTCGTGTTGTAGTGTAGTAATACCTCAGCACTGACCCTGACCCCGAGACCCACTTGTAGTGTACAATACTTCAGCACAGATATCCTAAAGTCAAAGCCAAGCAGCTAGGCAGCTGAGGTCTTGTACCTCATCAAGTCCCTCTTCACTACTGGAGAACCCTGGAAACTCCCTTGTTCTCACTTACTCTTCTTCATTGCCTGATTCACTGTCACTCCCAAATAGGTCCTTCTCTTCATTCTTCTTTCCAGATGATTCTTCTTTCCCTCCTTCTTCTTCACTGTCAGATGCTGCTGTCTTCTCTCTTTTACTTGACTTGTCTGATACAACATCACTATCAGAGTCGTCAGCATCAGAGACAACTCGACTCTTCTTTGCCGCTGTTAGAAAATACAATCACTTGTGTTATTTTGTTATATATTACTAAGTATAACAGGCTGTGAAAAAGTGAGCACTGGGAAAAAAATAAAATAGCTAATACAGGAATTAGAAAAAGAAGAAAGTTCCCAAAAATTGGTGTAACTCAGTAGTAGAGTACTTGCCTAGCAAGCACAAGGTCCTGAGGTTCTATTCTCAGCATCAAAAACATACAAACAGGTACACCGATAGTCATTTTACACATTTTCTGCTGCTTTACCTAGGAAGGAGTGGCTAAATGATAAAGATTTTAATGTAAGCAAGGATCAGTGGCCACCTTTCCTTTTGAAGGACCACGGAAAATTAATAGTCTGCCTGGCAGAACGTGCATCCTTTCTGTGCTGCGCAGCCTTCAACCTAAACTGTGTATCCCCCATGTTCCTTATGGCAGTATCAGACTTCTGAATAAGATGGTGGACCTGAGGCTGTTTCTGTAAAAACTAGTGAAACACAGATTTAAATAAGAAAAAGCTGACTGTACCTCAACAAGAGAAATAAAAGAAAAGCTTGGGAAATCTTTTTCCTAAGACAGGACATGGCTCTGGAAGGAACAGGAACAAAGACAAAGAATACAGAGCAGCCAGCCAAACCCATGTTAGATGAAGTAAGCTAGATGAAAGACAGGTAGCCATACCCTCAGGACAGTCTACAGCTCTTATGAGCCCCCAAATCTTTTGGGGTTTAAGACAAAGATTCTTCCAACGGAAGGGAAACCCAAGAATAATCACAGGGCAATAGCCAGGCATAATCTTGAGAGAGAATCTATTGTTACTGAGCTACCAACAGGGGCTTGAAATCAGGAACATCCATAGGTCTGGGAGTTGCTGTTTGGCTTGCCACCACCCTTGCAGGAGGGAAGGCCCAGAGAGGCAGTGGTGAACAGGAAGAAGAGCTGGATCATAATGGACCAAAGGGTGTAGACAGCAGAAGGCAGCATCAGGCTAGGAAGTGCACAAGGAAAGACAGGGAAAGGGAACAGATCTCATCACTGAGAAGTACCCCAGAGTCTAATAGCTCTGAGCCAGAGGACAGTGAATAGATCAAAGTCTGGAATCATCTATCTGTTGTTCCAGATATTCGGGGTGTACTTGATAGAGACAGCTGCATCTGTCCAGCAGTGTGACCAGTACTCAGGAGGCCTTAAAAATGAGAAGTTGGCCTGGCAGTGGTGGAGTGCGCCTTTAATTCCAGAACTAGGGAGGCAGAGGCAGGTGGATCTGAGTTCTGTGTTCAAGGCTAACCTGATATACAGAGTTCTAGGACTGCCAAAGCTACACAGAGAAATCCTGTCAAAAAACAAAAAAAAACAAAAAAACAAAACAAAAAAAACAAAAACCAGAAACAGTGAAAAAAAAATTCAGTGCTGCAGTTGCTTTCCACACTGCCTTCCCCACTCCAAGCTAAAACAGTCAGTCTGATGAGTCTGGTAAGATTGCAAGAATCTACCCAGTCCACAAAACGTATATATACCATATATGCAAAGATCAGGCCAGTTAGAGACTCTGATACACCAAAATGAAAAACTGAAGACAACTCTGGTAGACACAAGACACACAAACTCAGAACACACACAGCATAAACTAAGTTCAACTGACCGACCCTCTCCTGTGCATAGAAGTGGCAATCTTCAATTTTCAAGGAACCATAAAGAAACTACATCCATACAGCAACTTGTTTCATGTAATTTTTTTCTCCTGCACACTTAAGCAGGATTTTTTTTTACTGTACTGAATTTTTAATTCTGGTTATCCCCATTTATATTTTTATTTAATTTGCTTATGCATTTTTACTACCATTCTTGAACAAAATTTTTTCTTTTCCTTAGTTTCATATTTTTCTGTTTGACCTTTGTCTCTGTCTTTCCCCATCCCATCATTAGTAGTATTTTGGTTTTACCTTATTGGCTTAAAAAAAAAAACAAAAAAAATTTAAAATTCCCATTCTTACATTTATCTAATTTTGTTTTTAAAGGTTTTTATTACTAAAGTGTTAGTTTTCTTTTAAGTTTTTCTCTAATTTCTTATTCTTTTGTCTTCCTCTATAAAATATCATCAGCTTTCCTCTATTATGCCTTATTTCTCTTTTCCTCTCCTTCCCTGCCTTCCTTTCCCCACTGATCATTTCCACACTTGCCCTGGATAATTTCTAACTTCACAGATCACTCCACGGTAGTTATGTCATTGTGTCTTCTGCCCACTGCTGTATTAGGTACAAGGGCTAAATTTAAGCCTCTTTCTAGATCTTGTGTGGTCTGATAATGTCACTGCTACAGCAGTCTGTCTCCTTCTCACTTACTGAGACGGGACTGAGCCTTCGAGAGCAGACTGCTCAGTAAAATGATTTCCACCCCAATGAAGAAAAGATATCTAAACCAGTAAGTACATAAATCACAAAAATACAAGAAATGTGAAAAAGCAAGGCCACATAATTCAACTAACAATATCAAAAGGTACTGAAGCAGCTAAAATGACAGACAAAAATTCCAAAACCTTTTTCATAAAAATGATCAATAATCTGGAAGGATACAAAGCATAATAAATTTAATCCACTCCCAGAGAACAGAGTCAGCAACACACTTGGGTAAAAGTCTACAAAATAGATGAGAAATCTGAATGGAAAAAGCAATACAGAAGAAAAAGCAAGAACATTGAGATTTTAGGTTGGGGAGGGATGTTGGAAACAAAAACTCAATGAATCAAATTATATGACCATATGTACAGTATTTTCTCCTGCAACAACTGTCACTACAAAGGAATATATAGACAAGTTGCACAAAAAGATATTAAGTAAAAAGTATTAACTGTGAAAATGGAATCTGAGGCAGCAAAGACTAACAGTCCGCAGAGTTACAGTCTCTAAATAGAATCCCTCCAAACCCTGCTGGATGTGAGCATTCAACAATGTGTAACAGCTAACAAAGGACTTCTAAGGCTCAGTTCCTGTCCCAGTGAAATGTGAACTAGCAGTCACAGAGGACCCCAGCCAGGGAGGAATTTTTTTCTTCAGTGGTAGAGCCACAGTAAGGTACATGACTTCTAATTAGACTCATTTGGTTACAAAAACAAGACAAAAACAAAAAATATCCATAAAAAATAAAAAGATATGAGGGGAGTAGTGAGAGCAGGATATGACAGGATACTGATGTTAAGTATGATTAAAAAATACTATGTATTTCTATGTGAAAAGGCTATAATGAAATTAACATCACAATGCACACTAAAATATAGCAGAAAAGGATCACTATTTCAGCTATAAATACAGACAGAAAGAAAAGCTACAGCCTAATAAACTTCCTTACATGCTTTTTCTTCATCGTCACTATCAGAAAGCACAGTAGCCTTCCGCTTTGCTACTTTCTCATCCCCCTCCTTTTCTTCATCTTCATCACTATCCAGTTTTTGCCTTTTCGGTTCTTCCTCCTCCTCACTGTCAGAGCTGTGGAGTCTTTTTCTGTCTGCATGGCCCTCTGACTCATTCTGCATTTCCGAATCTTCCCTCTTATTCTCTGTATCACTGTCATCTGACTCTGGCTTGTGTTTGGGTCTGGAGGCATCCTCGGCTTCCGAATCACTAGCAGGTCCTTTCTGAGGCTCCTCACTTTCTGAGTCGCTGACTCGGGGTTTGGGGAGCTCCTCACTTTCCGAGTCACTGGCCTGTGGCCTTGGGGGCTCCTCACTTTCTGAGTCGCTGATCCGAGGTTTGGGGAGCTCCTCACTTTCTGAGTCACTTATACGAGGTTTGGGAGGCTCCTCATTTTCTGAGTCACTGGCCTGGGGCCTTGGGGGATCTTCACTGTCCGACTCACTGACCTGAGGCTGTAGAGTGTCCTCAGCTTCAGAGTCACTGGCAGCATGCTTTCTAATCTCTTCCTTTTCTGAGTCACTTGCATGTCCATTAAGAAGCTCTTCATTTTCAGAGTCGCTCCCATGCTGGTTGATGTCTTCATTTTCAGAATCACTGGCAGGAGACTCTGCATGCTCCTCAGATTCAGAGTCACTGTCCTTTGTCCTGTGAAGTTCCTCACTTTCAGAATCACTGGCATTAAGATTGGAGGGCTCATCGTTCTCAGAGTCTGTTCCATTAAGTCTCTTGTTCAAGCCATCTTCTCGATCGCTAGTTTCATTCTGAAAACGTAAGAAAAAATTAGTAATGTCAAAAAGGTAATGTAACCTTTAAAAAAATTCCAATAATTTTTTAAAATGTAGGAATATATGTATACTTAAAGATTTTTCATCCTATACCAATAAAAAAACATCACTTTAAACTAAGGCCTGTCTGTGAAATGAACTGTCACAGTCTGGTCCCCAAAGACAAGTATAACAAAACCTGTAAAGCATATTCCTACATGCAGAGATCTCTATGTTTAAAAACAGAGCCTTAATTCTTCATACAATTCTAATTACCCAAAGAAATAAAAACAAACACATAACTAAGTTTTTCACAAAGGTATAATCCCGAGTTCTATAAAACTTGCATTATTTTAAGGCGAAAAAAGCTTCATTATAAAAACTTTAATTATTCAAATGTCAAACAACAAATTTACCCATGAAAATCTCAACCAACACAAAAGTAGTTTCTATTCTCAAAGCACCTATTAAAAGTCAGCATTATAGGTGGGCGGTGGTGGCACATGCCTCTAATCCCAGCACTCAGGAGGCAGAAGCAGGTGGATCTTTGTGAGTTCGAGGCCAGCCTGGGCTACAAGAGCTCCTGGACAGGCTCCAAAGCTATAGAGAAACCCTGTCTACAAACAAACAAACAAACAGGCCAGCATTACGTTTGGCTGTTTCCAGCTGGTTCACAGACTTTCTCTTCTTAACAAGTACTTTTCTGGCCAAGAAAACAGGCTTCCACTTAAACAGAGGATGTGATATACACCTATGTCAGTACTCAGGAGGCTGAGGCAGGAGGAAAAGAGCCTTAGACCCTATGTCAAAAAAAAAAAAAAAAGAAAAAAGAAAAAAAGAAAAAGGAGAGGAAAAGATTAAAGGGCAGGGATGATAAGGAATAGTAAAGGAAGAAATATGGGGAGGGATAACTAATATTAAAGGCTTTCTGAAAAAGTCATATAGAAACCTACTACTGTAGCAGTTCCTAAAAGATATACACACATAAAGAAGAGTTTAAATGGAACTAGTATATAACAGTGCGACGATACCCTAGATACCGCACGCTACCAAATAAAAAACCCAGTACCAACAGGATTTTTGTTTTGAGCTGTTGGATAATAGAGTCCTAGAGACACGCCCCCCCCACACTATAAGTTATTGTCAATGCTTGACCCTATTGCTAAAGAGCCACATATCTGAACCATAGAGCATGGAAAAATCTGTATGATACTCAACTGGATGCTTCATCCCTACTGGTTAGCTTTCACAGCGACACTAGAGTACAAAAGCAAGCATCCGTCTCACTCAGCTGTGAAGCCTGTAACCTACAATAATGACTTGCCTGGCAAGATATGCCCACCAGTGCAGTAGTGGAACAAATGCTATGGGAGTAACTAACTACTTTTCTAAATTTAAGGCCTGCTCCATGAGATAGAATACATACTGACACTGTCAATAAGACCAAGAGCCTATTATAGACCAAGGTTAGGAAAACCTACTATTATTCTGATAAAGGAACACAACAATAAAATAAAAGATTCCTAATGATCTACTGCTAAACCCAAACATCAGACCATATTATTCAACCCTTCTAGTAAGAGATGAAAATTAACAGACATATAACAGGCCAATGGATAGAGAATAAGATTCTGGAGTATTTAGCCCTAAATGGGACATCTGTATCATACCTCTCCCCTCAAGGCTTAGGGATCTAAGTAGAAGAGGGGATAGAAAGAGCCATAGATGGTGGACGACTTCAAGGAAACTTTTCCAGACACAACAGGGCAGAGGCACATATGAACTCACAAGCATTGTGTGGGCATGTCCAAACCTACACAAGCTTGATCCAGACAAATCCCAGCATGGAGGAGGGGAAGTAGGTATAAGTGCCACTGAGGAGCTAATGACATTTGATAGCTCCCCCAAAGACAGAACATCTGTTTCCATTACTGGACATCTGGTATATCGACCACACTCCAGAGCAAATCTCATATCCAGGAGTAATCGGCCAACACAAAAACTGGACTCAAATGGATTTAAGAGACAGAAAACATGAAACTGGGTGAGTAAGGAGGTGGGGGAGAATCTGGGAGGAACATGAATATGATCAAAATACATTATAGGAAATTCTCGAGTTATCTAAACAAAAAAAAAGGGAAGGAAAATAGATGATTAAGAAGTCACAGGTAAGTATGTATCAACTAGGGAACACAGGCTAGATTCTGGGAGACTAAGACCAACCTAATTAAACTAATACAATGTAACTTGAAATACCTACCAACCTTCCTTTCTTCCAAAAAACTCTTTCAAAATAAGTCAAAGCCAGCCACAGTGGAACATACTTGAAATCCAAGAACTAAGGGGCAAAGGATAGCCACACATTCAAGGCTAGTCAGGGACATACAGTGAATAACATGCCAGCCAGGGTTACACAGCAAGACTTCAGAAAGACACAGACAACATATTAGCTCCTTTTCTTTTGTTGAGATTCCAGCATCATCATCCTCAGCAGGCAGACAGGCAAGGCGCTGGAGCAGCAGGTGAATGCTCCCATCTCTGCCCACAAGGAAGCAAAGAGCTTTAACTCAAAATGGCATGAGACTTTTAAACCTCAAAACCTGCCCCCAGTGACATACTTCCTCCAAGAAGGCCATACCTTCTACTTCTTTCCAAGTAGCCACCAACTGGGCACCAAGTCTGAAGAGAGTTACAGTGGGTCACCACTAAGTCAGATCACAACAGACCCAGAGAGAAACAAGGTTTAAGGTACAAACTTGATATATACATCATATAAAAATGATGAAAAAGATAAAAATTAAAGCTGCCAAAACAAGTACTTTAGGATGCTGAGTAGCCTCAAACCTCAACTTTAATTTTAGAACCTCAATTTCCAATAATAATATTTTGCTCTAAAATATATTAGCAGAATCTCAGTAGGATAACTCAAATGGGAAAAGCACTTGCTACCAAACCTAGTAACTTTTGATCCCCAAAATCCACATGGTAGGAGACAATTGACTTTTCCAAATTTTCCTCTAACCTACAGATACACACACACACACACACACACACACACACACCCCTCACAAGCATGCACATAACAACACCCTCCCCCCCAAAAAAAAGAGGAAGAAAGCTAGGTCTTAAAGTGCACGGATGTAGCAGTTGGCACTACAGAACATTAAGACAGGATTTAACATTCTACGGGTTATTTCAAAATAGATATAATTGGGTCTTTTTCCTGGAGTACCATTGATAGTGTGATACAGCTCTAACCATTAAACCTTAAACTTCAATGCAAAAAATTTAAGTTTTAGTTGTATGTGGTGGCATATACCTTTAATCACAGAATTCAGGAAGAAGAGGTTTGAGTTCAGGAGGAAGAGGTAGGTGGATTTCTGAGTTTGAGGCCATGTAGGGCTACATATTGAGACCTGGGCGGGGGGGAGGGGTGGCTAAAATTTAAATACCTCAGAGACAAGCTAACTGGCCCAAGCAAGTCAAATGTGACTTGATCCACATATGTTAACAGGCAAAAGAGAAGCACTAAGAGACAACATGAGCTGGACAGTCCTCCCAAAATTTATCTGCTACCCTCTAACATGGCGTATGCACTGCAAAACAAGCAATTATTATAAGGATATTACATTTTTACTTATTTTTATAAAACAGGATTTCACTAGCTCTGGCTGTCCTAGAACTTGCTATGTTGACCAGGCTGGCATCAAACTCACAGAGATCAAACTGTCTCTACCTTCCAAGCACTAAGATGAAAGATGTGCTCCACCATTACCTGGCTCCTATCATTTTTAAAATGAGCTTTGTAACATCTGGGTACTCATCCAGTTATGTGACAAAAGGGGAAAAAAAGAGCAATAGTCTCAGTCAAGAGCAAGTTCTGGCCATGTAGGTACGCATCTTTAATCTCAGAACCTGCATCTTTAATCTCAGAACCTAGAAAGCAGAAGCACTCATATTTTCTGTGAGTTCAAGGCCAGCCTGGTTGGGCTAGTCAGAAGTACATGATAAGAGCCTGTCTCAAAACAAACAAAATCAAAAAGAAAAAAAAAGAAAGAAAAAAAAAAGGAAAGAGGAAGAACTAGTAAACAGACTCAAGCAGAGGGCAAAGACATTACAGAATTTGAGGAGATTGTATTAAAAAAGATACAGCTAAAAGATTTGATGTCATTAAAATACTTTAAAATTTTAGAGTATATATAGCAGTCAAACTGAAAACTTAAACTTTTTTAAAACAGAAATCAGACACAAGTATAGGAAACATTACAAATTACCACCAAAGTTTCTTTCTTTCTTTTTTTTTTCTTTGCTTTGTTTTGTTTTTCAAGACAGAGTTTGCCTGTGTAGCCCTGGCCATCCTGGAACTTGGATCTGTAGATCAAGCTAGTCTTGAACTCACAGAGATCCACATGCCCCTGCCTCCTGAGTGCCAGAATTAAAAGTGTGTACCAATATGGCAAGGCATGGCATCGCCAAAATTTATTTATTTGTTTATTTCTTTAGATTTTTTTCTTTTGGCACAGTTTCTCTGTATAACAGTCCTGGATGTCCTGGAACTCGCTCTGTAGACCAGGCTGGCTTTGAACTCAGAGATACACCTGCTTCTCCCTTCTGAGTGCTGGAATTAAATGTGTATGCCACTACTGCCTGGCAAAAATTTCTTAAAAGTCATTTTCCTCCCAAACAGGGTAACAAATTTACTATGTAATTGAGGCTAGATGACCGTGAACTTCTGGTCCTTCCTGATTCTACCTCCTGAAAGCTGGGATTAAAATCCTGCACAACTACATCTAGTACACTAAGGATTGTACTCAGGGGCTTATAACATTGCAGGCAAGCACTCTATCAACTGAACTACACCCCCCACCCAAATGTCATCTTTTTAACAAGCAAAAAGTTCCCACTTAGAGCTTTCAGGAAAACTGAGCACTTTGAGAATCTTAGGAAGCTTTAGAAATGTCTGATCTCAAGCTTTCTCTGCGATCATTCACACTGCA